GCGATTACCCACGCATTACTCAATGCTCATCCAAGGTTCATCAAGTAATAATACATTCGAAAGGATCAACCCTTGCAAGTTCAAGGATCCATACGTCACATCCATGACTGTGCTATTCAAACCCAATCAAGTCATGTTCAATAATGTGGACATGTTCAATGTGGTGACGAACTTCACTTTCATTCGTTTCAATCCAGTATCCACGAATTTGCCATGTGATGAGTTTGCCAATAACTTGTATAAGTTATTCTCCACAGTGGTCTTGAATTTGGCTCGTTTCTCATTCAACATGTTACCATATTCGAATATGAATGGAGTGTGTCTGAAGGGTGTGTATATTTAACACTATGAACGAAATCAACCAAAGTAAATTGAATGAATCAATGTCGATCATATTCAGCAGCAATGGAAACAATTACACGTTTAAGAAACTCGATAACATACTCATTAATATGCCCAAGAACGACGGCAAACATGCCCTCGTACGTGAGACAGTGGATGGCGTTCCTCAATATTCGTGGATAACACATTCTGGGTGTTTTGTGAAAGTCAATAATGCCACACTGTTTGAACATACACACACATCCACTCAACCATTCAATAATCAATGCCAATTCCAATTATCTTCTGCTTTATATCTCATAATCACATCGATTTCATGTTACAATGAGAATGATGCCCTAATCAAACATTGTGATTCCATCGAATCGATTGTGGGTAAGGGATACAAGATGAGCGTTTCAATGGATGGTGTGTGATTGATCGATGTGCCATTCATCGATACACTCAGCAATCTTGTGACCCTTTCCCATACCAAACTAATAAATGGAATAGAATGGACAAGTGAGAGTCATACGATCTCTGTATTCACGATTATCCCTTCTCTTGTGTGTCTGAGAGGTATGAAGAGCATCACGATCGTTTTCAAACACTTGAGCGAGGTTGTTTCTGTTTCTTCTTCTTCTTCTGGCTCCTCGTAATGGGTCGATGTGATCTTGCTGCCTCTCTCAATGTATTGGGTTCCTTTCGACTCTTGGATCGAGTGACAGGCGGTGCTGGTTGTGGTTTGCATTTGCTTGCCAGCAGTTCCCAATCATAGCACTTCTGTGTGCTATCCCTTTCCACATTCTTCACTTCGTACATCAATGGCATGATGTGATCGTCAATGTCAACAACTTCAACCAAGTCCTGAGACCATTTGCTCGTCAATGATCCCTTTTCCAGAATGCGAGGTCTTCGTGTCACTCCAACATAATCACCAACATCGAATTGAGGTGTTGTGTCCTTTGCTGACAGTCGGATAGTTCTGTTTTCTCCGTGTACAAGATATCGTTGTTGTTGTTGTTAAGCCAAATGTCATTGGGTGTATATCCGATGTCTCTGTTCTTCCTTGTATTGTGTCTACGAACTGTACCATCGATCAAATCAAACCATACACCTTTCGATTGATTGATTGAATGGAATGAAGGAATCATGATGTCTTCCTTGATATCTCGAATTGTTCGTTCAGCTAGTACTGCCTTATTCGCTGAATCCATGTGATACATGGTGATATCATACTTGTTCAAGATGTTGGTACGAAAGATCGTATTGGTGAACTCGGTACCTCGATCCGAGCAAATATGCTTTGGTGATTCACCATATGTCTGAATGATGTCCTTCATCGCATGAGTGACTTCTGTAGCACTCTTGCTTTTCAGTTTCCGAGTCATCAGGTATTTCGAATATCCATCAATCCATACAAGGACATATTTGTATGCACGATTCTTGTAGAATCCAGTACTCTTTTGTGATCCCAACACTTCCTGTATGGATTTGTATTGTTTTAAAGAGAAATCGATAAGATCGATGAAGTATATGTTTCGTTTGAACCCACTAATGATCACTCGAGTGGCACCTCTTCGTTTTGCTGGTTTCCATAGTTCCTAGATCTCATTCATGCTCCCCACACACCTCGATAAATGAGTCACTATATTCAAGGAATGAATAAGTTGTGTCAGAGGAAGAATCACAAACTGGTTATAGACTCGAAATGCATTTTCTCCACTATACACTATTTCAAATAGAGCATCACTCGCACTCAACATTGCGATGATCGTTTCAATATCATATATACCTCGTGAAATCGATATTACACTTTCATCTGTTCTATCTCCATTGATCACAATTACTTGATCAGATGGTACATTATGAAATGTGAAATCGGTATGAAAAGATACAAATGATATGTAACACTTATCGAATGATAGAGGATTATCCCGCTGCACCTCCCTATTCGTAGTAATTCTGAACACCTCGATCATATTGAACTGATTTGCCGACAAAAAACGGGGCACCTTGACCATCAATTCTGTTTTCAATGGTCAATTAAAGCTGGAATTCGCCGTTCAAGTGCGGATGTTGCTTTTCAGCTCCGTAAACAAGAACATCAATCGGTTGAATCGGTATAGTCAGTCATGATGTTTAGAATGGCAAAAATACACCGATCATGAAATAACCAGAAGGAATCGTTGCCTTATCGTTACGTATGTTCATCGCCACATGGATCGTTTCCACGTTGATAATACTCACTTCTTCAGATCGGAATAGCATAGTCATGGAAGTGATGTATGGGTCCTGACAATTGTAAGAATTCAACCACTCGAATGATCCATTACGATTGATTCATTGGATCAGCATAAAGTAATGCATCATATCTCTCAATTTAACAAGGGGATATACATATACCTTGGGACATAGCGTGTTCATAATATAGTTTGTTCTCTCTTGCATAGAGTTAATGGAAAGACATCATATTTCCCGGGGTATTAAGCATGAGCAGTGTAGAATGACATTGATGTAAAATAACGTAAAACCTGATATTGCTGACTAGCGACGCTACGATTAACCGAGAATGGAGAAGAGAAACTGAGGTCGACTGGATGATTACAATCGTCGACATGAGTCTCGTACAATCCCTACGAATAATTAAGTGAGAGGGTGGATCAGGGTTGAATGCTATTTTACCTCAACGTCATACTACTATATATAATTAAAGAATTATCTTATTCATTTGTTTGTCATTTAACATATCTCAAAATAGTGAGAAAAACTCCCAATTGGGAAATATCGTATCCTGTGGGATAATTAATAGCACTACTAGTACCCTAAATGAAGTAATACCTTATGATTATAAACTGTTTTCACAGTTCCACATTAATCACTTCACAGTGGTTCACAGATCCACTCCATCGCTTATTCAAACAAACAATGCAGTGACTATCGATCCGATACGACATATAAAGAGACATATCTCGCTGCTGCGACTCTCCAAACATCACTCGCTTCAAATAGTCCTCCACTTCGTACCGATTCTGCGTCAACGGCAACAACTGCAACACCTTCTCGATCGCCTGACTGCGTTCCCGATACAAATCCTGATCGCTCGGCGGCGCCAGCTTACTCTTAATCTCCGCCTCCACCATCTGCAAGTACTCCTCCACGTTCTTCACCCACTCCGACCCTTCATTATTCTTCAACTCCCACAGCACTTCACAAAACCGCTTTCGCCCCTCCTCTCCACAAATCTCCCGCACCACAAACTCGCGATGCGCCACCGAACAATCGTTCAAAAAGGGCTGAATCGCGGACTCAATGAACGCGTTGTCCATCGACACCAACGCCAACAACAACACCATCAAATTCTCATCAGACGTCGGCGGCTTCGCCAACCGCAAGAACAAATACACAACAAACAGTTCATTATGGCCACTATTCTCATAATACAACTGCAGCAACGCTTCCAAATCCATATGCAGCCGCGTCACCGCCGAATGCTCTTTGAACACGCCCAAAAACTCGCTGTTCTCCGTCACACAGCCGCAAATCAGCGGCAGCGGCACCACGAATTGCTCGCAGACCTCACAGCTGCACAGCACGTCCCACATCTGAACCAATCCATGTCGGAAGTGAACAGACACGAGGCCTGTGCGCGGATCCACGAAGACGAATTCGGGACGCGTGTCGAAACGCACGTCGTCGATCACACAGCCAACACTTTGGAAGTAAAACCGCGAGTTGGCGTCTAAATTGACCACGCACAGGTAGAACTGGTTGGGGTCTTGGCGACTCTGGCGGAAAACAACGCAGATCGTTGTGTGGATGCCAGAGACGTCGAGAGGACTAATGCAACCAGCCATCCCGAGGATGATCTTGTATTCACTGTTAAAACGCCCGAATTGGATCTTACCAATCCCACTATCGCTCTGCTGGAGAAGATAGTGCTTATGTTCAGGGCACACATAAAGACCAGTGATGTCTTTGGGAGAAATGGAGGGATCCAAGGTTGCAATACTTGTAAAAAAGGAACCCTTAGCACACGGAGCCGTGTAAATACCATTAGAAAACACAGCGGCTATCATCTCATCATCGATCCAAATCAGCTTGTAAACTACAGAATTGTCCGGGATAAACATCGAACAAATTAAAACGTTCAAATTCAAATCAAAACAGTAAACAGTTGACTTTGAACAGATACACAACTTGGTACACGAAGGGGAAATCGCAAAGGCGTCTGAATCGATAATTCTCGTTTTCACTCTCGGCGAATCAAGAAAGAGCCAAGAAATCTGGTCCTTCTCGCCATCCATGGCAATATGCATCGCCAGACAGTTTGGAGAGGGAAAAGAAATGGTATTAGTGTTAAGCTGCTTCACATTCGAAATTACTTTCGAGAACTACGAGTTAGCGCATCTCACTTCACCGACATCAATATCAATCAGTGGATTAAACGGGTTCTTGATTTCCATCCAAGGGGAGTTCCTGGCAGATAAGTTTTTAAATAGCGGTATTCCGCGGTTATTTCGAAAAACAAACAGTCCAATTATCTCCCTTGATTTCCTTCTTCTGCTTTCTCTTCTTCTTCTTGTTCTTATTCTCTTTATCCTGGTGCTTCTTTCCGATCTGCACAAGGCACTCACCCAAACAAAACGACTACACCACTCAATTCGCCATCTCCATCTTCATACATATCCAATGTCCCGCAGCTCCCCGTCTCCCTGCATAACGATTCTCGGCACGAACTCCTGCCCATTAGCCAGCTTATGCGAATAAAAGCACGACTCTCCGAAGGGACAGACGCCCATTCCGCCATTGAAATACTTACACGGGATTTCTACCTCGCAATTCCCCGCGATTCCTACGCGACATATTCTTCTTGTACGCTTCAATAATCTTCTGCTTCGCTTCCGGGTCGAAAACCGGCTCCTTGCTGGGGATGATGTAAAATGATGTCGCTCTGCAAAGTGGGCAGCGACGCACGGAGGGGTCTCCGATATGCGAGTAGCGCCAATTTCGGATGCATTCGAGGCAGAAAACGTGGCTGCAGTCTAGGAATTGCCGAGAAAACTATGAAAAACTCTGCATCAATCCGAAGCGTTTGCCCGCTTTCAGCACGTCCTCCTGGCAAATGCAGCACTCCGTGCTGTACTCCAGCTTCTGCTCGGCTGCCTCCGGGTGTAGCGTGTGTGCGAACCAACACTTGTCGCCATACATGCAATTGCCCTAGCTTCGAGGGGAGCCAAAAACGCTACGGCTAGCCAGTAGCGGCAGACTTCGCGCGGTTTGTGGGGAGTAGACGGCGGAGAGGCGGGTTCCGTAGAGGGAGAAGGCGGGGAAAGAGAGACAGAAGGAGAAGGCGGAGGAGGCACGGGATTCTTGAGAAGAACCGACTTCCAGGAGCGAGAACTGGGCGTGGAGGTGAAATAGGGGTGGTCGATTGTGAGGGAATCGATTAGCTCGTCGTCTGCTTGGAGCATGTCAACTTTGATATTTGATTCGATAAAATCAAGGTCCGTGAATGGGTTGATGGTAGAGAGAAAGGTGTTGTCCTCTTCAGAACCAAAACCCCTCCACTCGACTACACATTACTTCCGTGAGCGAAATTGACTGTTTGGCATGTCGTAAACTTCGACTGGATCCGTTGCAAACGACTCGAGGTATGTTGGGAACGATGAAGAAGTATGTGCATCAACTTCGGGAAACACTTATCAAAATCGTGATTCAAAACCTACATCGAGACTGATCGTGTATGTTCAACTCCATTTTACCCAAAATCGAGGGAGACAACACACACTCTACAGCACATTAGTACTTTCCGAACCAAGGTAGCCAACAGCACAACCTAAAAGCATACGATACGAGAAACAACAACAAAAGTGCCTTGAACAAACAAACCGCGGTTATTTGACTCAACAATCATCTTATTGTTCTGACTCAGCAGGGATCTTTGGATTCAGATAAATGACAGGATCGGCATTCAACGAAGAGTAGAAAACAAACATGTCCTCCACAGGGTGCGGATACTTCACATGCGCCACATACTTCGAATTCGGGTCAATGCAGTCAAATCGCATCACACGATTATTTTCCACCATTACCGCGTATCTGCGTCTCAACTCCCACCCAACTCTCACTTTCCCTCGGGATGGATGATACATCCCGAAATCGGGAGTTTTCGGTACATCGTCGGTTCCTTCGCCATCGCCACGTTCTGCGCAAAATTATCGCTCAGCTGCCCGATTTCCTCTCCGGTAGTGAGAAACACGCGCACCACGGCATGCTCCGCCACCACGACAAATTTCTACTCAAAACCGCGGTGAATCGCCTACAGAATCGTGGGAAAGTGTGATCTGCTGCTGTCTGACCTAAAAAGAAGACGAGTCGTGTGTGTCTGTACGTAATCAGGGAGAGAAACGTCGCGAAGAATTCCGATCTGGAATGAATTTTGGTCGCAAACGAACCAGCGTGTGTGTGAGAAAAGAATCCATCGGTGCTGTGGGTAAAGTGACACGAATCCGATGAGATCGAGGGACATGTGGGGCGTTTCGAGGGCCGTTTCGGTGAAGTGGGTGAGGGAAAGAGTGAAAAGAGTGTTATCGAATCGTTGGAGAAGGAGAGTGTCGGCATCGCCGATGATTGTTTGGATTGTGTTGGTTGGAATTCTATGGAAGGGAAAAGTGGAAACGAAACTGGTGGAGAAGGGAGGAGGACACGCTGTCGAAGAGAAAGACCGAGCCGTCGATGTTTCGAACGATGATTACATTGCTGTGGGAAGGAGATGAAGTGATAGAGGCGATGGGACTCGATTGAGGCGCTAGAGAGAAAGAGATGGCAAGCAGTACTCGAAAGAATCGAGATAATGCAGCAGTCGATGCAGCTGAGCAAAAAGACTTCGCCTTCATCCGTGCCTACAGCTAAAACACTATCTCTGGGCAAATGTTGCTGTGGGTAGAGCCAGTAACCACAGGTACAGTTCTAATAATGAGAAATCGAGATAGAAGCTACTCCGCCCTTAAAATAGGGTGTTTTTTGAACAACATAATGAGCAAAGAATCCCAAACTGCTATTATTATCTTCATTATCATATCTATATGAAATTATAAAAATAATAAATAAAAAACATATTGACCTGCTGTTTCGAAATGGCAGCGACATAACGACAAATGCCATGGTGACACTTTTCTTCAAGCAGTGATATGATAGAAAAGCCATGATTTTCCTCGATAATACGCCTGCATGTCAAATAGCTCAGATTTGTCGTAAATGAATTCCTTATTGTTACAGAATATTTAATGTCAGGCATACATTAAAAGGGCAGATGGACACAATAGGAAAAAATAAAAATGTCAAAAAGTAAGGTTTTTAAACAGAGAAAAAGTGGAGATATGCTTTGTTTCAGTAGGGAAAATGAGTGTATTAACTAAATATGAAATGATGGAATGTGTGTGATGAAGGTATCCAAAATAGAGTTTTGTGTGATTCTGAGGAAGCTACGCTGTGATTGATGGATTAATAATGAAGAAGGTCGCTAGTATAATGAGATAGTGTTTTTGTTAGAAAAAATGAGATTTAGATTTTTTGATGATAAAGGTCTAGCAATAATAATGAGTAAAGTGTTATGTTCTTGGTTATAGATTGACATGATATGGCGAGAAAAGTGATTATCGCGCATTTTACAGAAACGGAAACTGTATAATGTATACCCTGAAAGAAAAGACATTATGCAAATCAATATAAAGTAGATTATCCCTAATGCATGGAATGCACAAAAGTTCACAATGCCAAGAGAATAGGATAATATAAACAGTACTCTATATTAAGAATATTACACTTAAGCATACACCAGAACAATCGAAACTGGATAATTTACACAAGAATCTACTTCAGTGAAGAATATATATATTGGCAATTAGTTTGAAATATAGAAAATTCGTACATTTGGAAATGAATCATACAATTTTCGATGCAGTTCATTTGTGATTCGAGGTATTAAACTGATATTGATTATTTGGGTAATGATAAGATCTTCCAAATATAGTATTAATGCATTCTGGCGGATATTGTTTCTGTTATTGACGCATTGTGACATTGTTAAGCACTATTTATAAGGTATTGATATTTTGACGATTGAAATTTTGTCGTTTTGAACACGCCTATGTCATTTTGTTGTGATCGATCAAAATCGTTCAAAAGTGTTTGTTGCTTGCTAGTTTGCATTCATAGTTGTTTTCACCTTTTTTCCTTACTTCGACAAATCCAGCACTATAAAGCAGTCTCATACTCGTAGGCATTAGTTCGAAGAGTTCCACATATCACATTTTTGTCTTTCCAATTCAATCCATTATCATTGATGTATCGAATAATAATTTATTCTTGGTTGTTCAAAATATATTTTTTCGGTTTTGGTCATTAATATTGAATCATAGATTTTTTCTTCTCTGTCATGTTAAACCTGATTATTTTAGCTAGTATGTTCTAATCCTGGCTACTATTGACCTTAGACTCAATTACCCTTTTTCTGTCATATCACCCATTACCTTGATTATATACTTAATCTGATTTCTCTTCCCTTCGTTTTCACTTCTCTGATTCTATTACTATTACATCACTCTTTCATCCATCTTTATACACCACAATTCTCCTCCTTTTTTTCCAAATACCATCCAGTCTCCGACAGATACGATTTCAAACAAACAAAGCTACATGCCTTTCAAATAGGACTGAAGCAGCAGCTGCATTGGCTGCGAGGACATCGGGTACGAAGCAAACTTCTCCACAGGGGTAAACAAAATATTTGCATTTCTTGACAACGATTTAACCACAGCACTCTGCGTCTCGTATCCCTCCGGAAGCAGCGGACTAAGCAGCAACGCAACGCTCGAAATGAAGTCATTCATCGCCATTTCCATGTAGGACTCGGCTAGCGTCCAATCGACTGGATCGATTTCTTCCATCACACGCTTTTCTGTCTCGGAAAGAACGGCCGCAGCCTCTGCAAACATCGAGTTTTCTGTAAGCTTCTTCATAAAGCGAAGATCGAAGAGCAGCTACACATAAACATCGAACATCGAAAGCACTAAAAGCAGTCCAGGGGACGCGATTGTGCTGTGCGAAGCGAATAACTCGGTAATTTCCGATTGATAGCTTGCTGCCACACTGCTATACGCGCGAGAAAGCGCTTCTTCGCGACATTTCTGAACGAACTCTGCGTCGGTCGAGAGACTATTCGTATCGTCCAGCAGCTGGCAGAGTTGCATAAAGATCTCCATTAGTGAGGCGGAGCAAGTTCCCGGAACGAAAACGGAATCGTCCTGCTCTTCTTCGCCGCTCAGCGAATACTCCTTCCATCCACTAATCGATTCGTACCATTCTAGAAAGAATTAAAAAAAAGAAGAGAAGGCGATACGATGGTCTCGCATCGACCAATGAATCGACCGGATCGATTGTGTGAGCGTGGATTGGATGTCGAGTGCGTTCGTAACCCACTGCGTGACTTGCGAAGAGAAGAACTGCTGCAGATCGCCGAGCACTCTGCGTTCTGACCTCCAATTCCGAAGGATACGATGTTGTTTGAATGGAATACTGTTTCGTTAGCGAGGAATAGGCAGACGACAGCACGAACGACGCGAACGCGACGACTAAATGCGCGTTGGGACCGTCCACCGTCATTTTTTCAAGACACTGAAGCAGGAATCGGAAGAGATCCTGCGTCTGCTGCTCCACGATCTGTTTCAACTCCTCTCTGCAATGAATCGCAAGCCAAAGCGATACGAGGACGCATAATCGAGCTCCGTTAAATCCGAAAACACCGTGCAGATCGGCGAGACGATCGTCGCATTGAGCAGCTCGGCGCATTCCGCGAGCGAAGAGCGACTCACCTGCTCTACCGCCTCCTGCATTCGCGTCTGCATCGACTGGAAGCAGTTCAAGATGAGTCCGTGGGACTGGTTCTGGAAGAGCGAGTCGAACAAGCGATGCAGCGAGTCGAGAACGGGCTGGGCGAGCTTCTCGATCATCTCCTTCCATTCCGACTCGATCGACGCGAAGAGCTGCGAGATCTCCCGCTTGGTTGACGCCAGCGAAGACACCGAATCGGTCGCCGACACCACGCTCGACGCCGTCTCGGCCAGTTGGCTCACTTGCGTCTCCGCCCAGTTCTGCAAAAGCGAGACGATGTCGCTGCGAGATTCGTCTCTCCAGGACGCTGCGAGCCAGGAAACGCGCGACTGGAAGATGTCGAAGGGCTCGGAGGCGGTGAGGAGGGAGGAAACGGACTGCAGAGCGGTGCTGATGAATCGAATGGAGTCCAGCAAGCTCTGAAGAGACGCGGCTTTCAGCGAGGAGAGAATTTCTTGCGATGTGAACCCAAGGAAGGAATCCAGGACGGATAACGGAGAGAAGTTCGCTGTGGAATTCGGTTCGGTGGTTGATGTGGAATTCGGCTCGGTGGTTGATGTGGAATTCGGCTCGGTGGTTGATGTGGAAAGAAAGGATTTGGAAAGGAGGAAGAAGGCGGTGAACAGACTGATTTGATCGTTCAGAGAGAGAGAAGGCTGCGTGAGGAGGAGATGGACGCACTTCTTGGCGGAAATCTCGGGGAAAACCGAACGGAATTCGCTGAACAAAGAGGAGAATTTGGAAGAGGCTAGGCTTGAAGCAGAAACGTGAATGTACGGAGCGAATTAAATTCCTGGAGATCCTCCGCGAGCTGGAGCATTTCGTTCTTGTCATATCGCTCCCATAACGTGTCTGGAGTGACCTCTACGCGATCCGTGACAGTCTCCGGTACGTACACATAGTCTTCATCCAAGCAAGAGCAAATCTAACCTGTTAGTTAAAGGAAAAGGAAAAAACGGAAATGATGCCTTTGACAGAGGATGTAATGCTACTGAACTCTTTATTCATTTCCGTAATCGTATCTGAAACGTGTAGCATGTCCAAATACTTTCCTCCAACCAACTGTCTCATTTCCTCTCTCTTTTGCTGGATTGTCGTTCTATTTCATTAGCAACAGAGGCGCTAATCAACATACTCGGATTTATCGACAACTTGACGAATGATCCCAATACTATAGTTGTTGAAAAGATCATCGCCATTTCTGAATTGCAACTCTATGCTGGTGGATTCCTCCATCTCGTTTACACGAACAGTAGATTATGAAACAAACAATGCTAAGCAACACCACTCACCTATTCATCTTTAGGCTTTTCAGACGTAAGAGAATAGAGCGGGATGAAAGGGATGAGCACCGGGGTTTTCTTACGATACTCCAAATAATCCGGGTTATTTCCGTAATTATCCAATTGCTTCTTATCCAGGCGAGCCGCAGCAGAGAACATGATGAAGACAGAGGACGCCACTCCCAGAATGCTCGATACCATAATCGGAACCTCCATCTTCGAGGCAAATCCAGCAACCAGACTTCCCGACCACACAAGCATTTCTCCGAAATAGTTCGGCATTCGAACCATTCTGAAGATCCCAGTGGAGCAGAAGAGCTTGGGATTCTCCTTCTTGAACGCAGACTTTTGGGCATCGGCGATGCTCTCAATCAAAAAACCCGTGAACATGATGGCAAGTCCCAGAACACGGATAGGGATATTGATTGGGTTATGCATTTTGATAGAGCGAGCGTGCGCAAGGAGGGGAGACGTCTCAAAGAAGTAGATGCAACCACACATCACTATCATGGGCAACAAAACGGAGAGACGAGGGAGCGGATATGAATGAGGCTTTTCACTCTCATTATACGAGGCTCTCGTCGAACGGATGATAATAAAGGAGGCGAGGCGGATAGCGTAGGTAATTGAAATGGCAGCATGGCAGACCAGAAGAATAGCATTCACTCGATTCATAGGATCCATAATCACGTCGCGATACAGAACAAGCACGATAATAGCCTGAACGGCCACACACAGATTGTAGCCTGTAGTAACGATATACATGAAACTTTTAAAGCCATAAAGTAGACAGACCGTAAAGGCAGCAATAATCACGTATGTATCCATATACGAATCCATGGCTCGTAAGTTTTTCTATGAAGATGGGCTTAATTTTTGGCTTTTTCGATTCTTCGTTTTGGAAAGATTGCATCTCACAGAGTTTTGACACTCCGTGGTTGGATCCAGTCGTACCCTACCAAAATATCGTGGAATAGGAACGAAGAAGCACAAGGACCAAACCTCCAATGATTCCTTCGCCTGCTCTGAAAATCACACTCCAAACCACTAAGCAACAATTGTTTTTGTACAAACAAACGACAAAGAATAACAAATTATGTAACAACACCTAATTGAGACCTCTACAAGCGTTCCATACCATTAAACCCCATGGGAATGGAAATATTCGTAAAGGAAGAGTTCTGTGGAGACATTTCATAAATCCTCTGGTACATCGAGGTATTCGAACTCTCCGGCAGAGGCAAACTCCACTGATTTCCAGAAATATCCGGATTCATCGGCACAGAAATGCTGCTCGTCGGCTTTGTCTACATCGCACTCCCTCTCTTCGCGTACAGTGGCTTGCTGGCTGTTCTTTCCTTTAAACTCGTCCTGCTGCGCGTGGTAGCGGTCTCGATCCTCGCGGCTCTTCTGCATATATGGCTCCTTTTCCTCTTCTGTCATGTCACGCCAAATCTCGCCCAGCTTCACAGAGACCTCGGTGATCTTCATGGAGGGATTCTCGGTTTGAATCTGACCTCGTTTCTCGTTCGAAAAGAAGAGGAAGGGAGACATGGCGCGTTTGGGAGCACCCTACTCCATGAACAGAACACAAATGCTCATACCGGGACTTTATTTTGATGGCCGCGCTTTTGAACGACTGGGACATGCAGAGGACCATCGTACGTGGTCATCTCGCGACTGTACCGGATTTTATCTTCTTCGGCTAGTTTCACATATGGAGCCTTTTCCTCATCTGTCATCGCTGCCCATTTCTCAGCAATGATACGAACAATCTCGGTAACCTAGTATTGACCACAAACACTACCCAGCACCTTGGTACCTTGCTCGACGCTTGCTTTTATCTTGGGCCGGATCTCTTTACTGAAAATGATATACGGGGTCAGTGCTTTCTTCGGTGCATCGGGGGCTTTCCGTTGTTTTCTCCTTTTTCGTATCTTCACGTCTCTTCCTATCTAGTCAAGTGTTAGAATCACAAATAGTATTGGAGGAAGAGTTCGAAATTACTCAAATTCACAACCTATTGGAGTTGCAAAGAAATTTCGAACCCAACTGAAAGCAAAATGGTTCACTCCCTACGCTCTCCAATTCCGACATTTCTGACATGACTATTTAAGAAAAAAGACTGAGGGCACGCTTATTGGAGCACCAAATTTTCGTGCATTTAGCAGAGAGAGGGGATCAGGCGTAGCGGACTACACGGGTTTGAAGAGAGAGAGTAAGCATCCAGTCTGAATGACTGAAAAGGCAATTCTTTGAGTTTTTTGTAGTGTTTTTGTGTACCGAACGATTATTGTTCTGCTAAGAGAACCATCTTTTTGTGTTTCTCTCCAACCTAGAAGCCCAAGGAATGAGCCAGTTGCGAAGTGTGACCAACGAAGCACAGAAAATACATTACGGTATGGGGAGGAATAGTCTTTCAGAAGATTTCGAGACACCTGCAGAAAAGAATTGCGGTCACCATTTGTAAAAAGGATGATTCGTAGAAATCTGTCCGGAGTCGTCAAACCCTATTATTTTTGCACGAACCGAAACTACACACATTCCAAAGCATCTTCTCGAGGTTTCTCAGTACCATAAACTACAAGATGCTATTTACTCAGCACAGGAAGATGGTTCTTTAAAACCAACTCCTCTTGACTCGATTAAGGAGACAGACTCGGATGAGGAGAGTCAAGAGCTTACGAAACCGAAAAAGATGGGCGTAGGGTGCTTTGATTCGGGTAAACTCTAGTTTTTCAAACGTCTTTTGTACTATATCTGCTGTTTATGTGACAGCATGGACCAGGAAATCCAGTTCTTTGGAGGTGATGCTTGTGATCCGGTCCTAAGTGTGACATCCCCCCCAGGCGGAGAGGTCCAGGGCCAGTTAATCGAAACCCCAACGGGTCCTTTTTTGGGTGAGCAGTCCAGCGCGAACCAGGGTCGGAAAACGCTCGTTCTGGATCTGGACGAAACTTTAGTTCACTCGACCTTCCAACCGACCGACGACTGCAGCTACGTGATTCCCGTCGAAATCGAGGGTGACCTCTACAACGTTTACGTGTATCTGCGTCCCGGAACCACCGAATTCCTTCGTCGAATGAGCGAAATCTACGAGGTCGTCGTGTACACCGCCAGTCTCCCTGTGGTTCGCTTTTGAGCTCGCTGTGTGACGGATAGTACGCCGATCCCTTGCTGGACAAGATCGATCCGAACAATCTCATCTCGGCTCGGCTCTTTCGGGACCACTGCGTGCAATCAGGAGGCATTCTAGTGAAAGATTTGGGGCTGCTGGGACGCAGCTTGGACTCGGTGGTGATGATCGACAACTCCGCGGTGAGTTTCCAGTTCCAGCCCAATAACGGGATCGAGTGCGTGCCGTTTATCGATGACATGCAAGACAGAGAGCTGATCGAGATGATCCCGTTTTTGGAGTATCTGTCGAAGAAGTCTGTAGGAGAGGAGGGAGCGAGTGAGGCGTAGGATGTGCGGCAGTATGTTACCATGTGGAGTGCGGCGAGGGAAGCGAAGTTGAATAACGTTTTATTGAATTTGCCTTGAGAAGGTCTTTTTTCTTTTGTAGTTTTTTCTTTCTTGTTTGTTGGAAACGAAATGGGATACTTCGTTGAATGGGATATAGAGGAGAGGCAGGGAAGCCATTCAAAATCTTATATACAATGGTTTTGTTGAGGTCGTTCTGTGATGTCTAGTCGGGAATAACTTGCACAGATGAATGTACTCAGCAGTACGACCAGCTTCGCCTTCGAAAGCACTGCAGATACATTGTGTTCAAGATAGAAAAAGTGGAAGGCATGGAACAAATCGTGATCCAGCGATATGTAAACGAATGACAGTGCATTTAATCTAGGGGAGTCGGGACGTGACCTGGGACGAGATGGTCCAATCGCTCCCTCCGGAGGAACCTTGCTTCGTGGTATTTGACTATGAATTCACCGATGAGGAGCGACGAAAGCATGCGGAATTGCTGCTTATCACATGGTAAGTCTACAACGATAGAGTAATGGGCAGGACACCGGATCATTGCTCCATAAAGGAAAAAGTGATGTATTCTTCCAGCAAAAAGGCGTTCCAGTCCAAGCTCGAAGGATCCAAACTTATTGACGCCTTTGATTTAGGTGATCTGGAGGAAAAAGTGATTCGAGAGCATTTATAAGGTTATCCTTTCTTATCAAAAAAAAAATAACCGCAACCACCCTATCTCACACTCACACTCACAGTTTATCAATCTGTTTTCAACAAACACTCCAATGATCCAATCCTCCCAAGCACACATATTTCTCTTCCACATACTCCATAAGCCCCGAAGCTCCTCCCTCTCTTCCTAGCCCACTCTGCTTCATTCCTCCGAACGGTGCTTCCGCAGCACTGGGCACCGCTTCGTTCACCCCCACAATTCCATATTCCAGCGCACGCGCCACGCGCATACAGCGCCCTATATCCCTCGAATACACATACGAAGCGAGTCCAGCGTTGGTATCATTCGCCATTTCAATCGCTTCCTCCTCCGTCGAGAATCGCAATCTACATGTCATGCATCTCTCTTCTTCCCCACATCGGCGCAATCGGCGCAAAACTCTCCTCCGAGAACACTTTCATGTCCCTGGTGACGTTCGTCAACACCGTGGGTTCGTAAAAATTGCCGCCCAAAATGTGTCGTTTGCCGCCACAAAGCACGCGCGCGCCCTTCTCCACCGCCTACCTCGCACTCTCTCCGCACCCCTACATCGCGAATCTTCTCCTCACAGCTCTCCACGGCGCTACGATTGATCAGCGGGCCCACATCGCAGTCCTCCTCCAATCCATGGCTCACTTTCAGCTCGCGCACGCGCTTCACGAATCGCTTCGTGAACTCATCGCACACCGAATCCTCCACGAAGAGCCGGTTCGCGCAGATACACGTCTGTCCCGAGTTCCGGAACTTCGACGCGATCGCTCCTTCCACCGCGTCCTCCAGATTGCAGTCCTTAAACACGATAAACGGCGCGTTCCCGCCCAGCTCCAGCCCCAATTTCTTCACCGACCCCGCCGATTCGCGGATCAAATACTGTCCCACCGACGTCGATCCCGTGAACGACAGCGCGCGCACGTCCGACGACTCTAACAGCGCCTTCCCGACCTGCTTCCCGTTGGCTGACGTGCAGCAGACCACGTTGAACACGCCCGGAGGGACGCCGGCGCGCTCGGCGAGGAGGGCCAGGTAGAGAGCGGAGAGCGGCGAGGCGCTGGGCGGCTTCAGGACGCAGGTGCAGCCGACGGAGAGCGCGGCGGCCATCTTGCGGGTGATCATCGCGATCGGGAAGTTCCAGGAGGAGATCAGGCCGACGACGCCGACCGGCTGGTAGAGCGTGAGGAGCTGGCGCGAGGCGGGGGAGGAGAGCGACGTGATGGTTTGTCCGCGGAGATGCTTGCTCTCCTCGGCGAACCAGCGGACGAAGTTCGCGCCGTATTGGACTTCGCCGCGGGATTCGCGGATGGGCTTGCCGCTCTCGAGGGTCATGACCTTGGAGAGCTCTTCGCTGTGCTCGATTAGGAGATCGTACAGACGAAAGAGAATTGCGCTACGATTCTAGGGTTGTGGGGTTTGTGTAATAATAATACAGTGGGGTTCATGGACGCCCATTCGGGAAAAGCAGCTTTGGCTGCTCGGATTGCTTCTTCGGCATGAGTTCTGTCACAGTTCATCACAGTACCAACAGTTTTCCCTGTTGCTGGGTCTAAACGATTAGATAATGGACTGAAAAGTCACCTTTCACATCAAAGGTGTTTGTAGAGTTCATCCACTCGCCATTAATGTAGGACTTTTGCGACTCGGCCAACTAGATAATTAGATGAGAAAAATATCCAAACTAAAGAAAAGGACCGAACGTAGCTAAAAACGGGCAATCGTATAGCCTAGTGGATAATCAAGCATAATATAAAAAAGAAATACCTTTGACAACATTCAAATACAAAGAAAATGTGAAAAAAGGAAAATGAAAGATACAATTCCATATTGAATAGAAAGGGTTTCGGAGATTTAGAATTCATAGAAATAGGGAAGCAGATTGTGTTGTTAAGGATGGAAAATACGGTTGATGAAGGAAATGAAAGGCATCGGAAAAAGAAAAAGAATCGTGCATTGTAGTATGGAGTATTCAAAATAGTTGGTCGAAGAGATAAACTGGAATTGCATCGAATCACTTTTTTTCAAGAATAGGTTCATCTGGTATTTGTACTTTGTTGGGCGATATTTTAAATCCACTCAATATCATTTTGGGCATTAGTCATGCTACAGGAAAGGACTAAAAACGAAATGAGGAATTAAGGGAAATGTGATCAAATGCGTTTCAATTAATATAAAAATATAGTCAAATAGGGTATAGAATAACATCAAGAGCAATCCAATACTACTATTAGTACAATATGCTTGTTGGACTGAAATGGTATCATGAGGAAGTAAAATGATACAAAAGACATATAAATACTGATAAAATAGAGTAGAATTTCTTTGTTTAAGGTGAGTTGCCTATAACTAGAACCTATAGTTCACACTGATTTTTAAGTTCAAGTTTAGGTTGTGTCCAATGGAGAAGAAGTCATAATCTCCTATATTTATGCCATTTTTATGGACTTTTTGATGACACAAATGGACAAAAATAAATTACATTTCTATATTACTGATGACCAACTGAAATATATACACTAAGGTAGAACTACTCAATAATGTTAATAATTATTTGTATAACATTGCTTGATGTTTTTATTACGTCGTTGGTAAGCATGCCAAATATATCTAGGATATATTAATAGTAATAATCCAAATTATACTCTTGACAAATTTTTCTATCGAACTCTCTGGAATAAACCAAGTAGATCGGCGAGTTAAAGATTTGGATTATTTAAATACTATCAAGATTCAATATTTAAAACTATTTTCCAATAATAATGAGCGAGGATATACGAAACTAGATTCGAATGTACTGTGCAGGAATGATAAACCTAGAAGAATAATAGGCAGTCACCTCAATATATGTCATTATTGCTTCACATCATCAAGGATCATGATCCAATATTTTTTCCTAAGTAAGGCATCAAGACCGAGTCGAATGGATTGTAGTGATGGAAGATCTATATTAATCATTTCATTCGAATTCATTCAATACTTTCAATAATGGTTGATAAGGAATTATTGAACACACTATCACCTAATGTAATGGATTGTAGTGATGGAAGATCTATGCATTACCCAAATATTCAATATCAGTTCAATACCTCGAACCACAAATGAACTGCATCGAAAATTGTATGAATGTTTTCCGATTGTCCCAATTTGAATGGATTGTAATTGTGGACAATTCTTCAATTCAAATTCGCCAGCATAATCACTGAAACTATATTTCCGTATTTCAATCGATTGCAATGATTCACAATTCAATATGTGGAAAGATTTTGATTTATCATTTCCATCATCATTCTTTTTCTGCGTGAATGAATTCTTACCGATTTTGATCGTTTTCAATCGATTCAATCCATCGATTTGAAATGTTTGTATTGATTCAAAACAATCATTGCCGATTTCGATTGATTCCAAATTATACAATAATGAAACATCCCAATCAACCAATACACAATTATCACTCAGTTTCAAATGTTTCATTCCGATATTCAGTGGTTTGCTTCCATCTCCTTCATATTTTACATCAATATCACTTTCAATTCCATTGCACCATTCACATTCATTCACTAATTTACCATATCGATCATACACTTTTCCAATTCCAAATCGCTTATCATCACACCAATATCCTTCATATTCAATCGCTCCATTATTATGATAACTCGTTCCATATCCAAATCGTTTCCAATTGATCATTATGCCCTTGTACACCAAGAATCCATCATCATCATACATTTCACCATATCCAAATGGAATTCCAATTTTACCTTCTATTTTCTAAAAATTACTATGATCTACTTCATAGGTAATATTGCGCACTATTTTCACATGCATAGTAAAAGAAATGTCTACCATCTTTTTTGCTTATAGAGTTAGATATCACCTAACTAACGTACTACTTTTGATACTAAATAAAAGGATCTATGATTATGTATTTTTCCTACAGTAGTATTCTATTAATTATTAGACAATTGATTACTACCCAGATTGTTACATAACTAATTTATAAAAAACAATATATAAGCGAAATATACTTTTAATGCAATTAAAGCAAAACAAAAATGGTAAAACGCAATAATAAGATAAAAAAGCTACACGTGATTGGCATATGTTCCTTAGGTTTCATCATAATAAAAAAGAGCAACGAATCATTCTAAGCACAAATCACATGCAGCTCAAAGAATGAAATACTGTCAGCAATTATTAATGCGCAACAAAATCCTTGATTGACAGCTAATGGTTCATGTACAGAAAATAATTACTTTTTAGCATTCATTACACTTTACAGTACCGTAGCAACTAGCGCAGTATGATAAAATCCACATTACTGTCCTCCTTATACAAAAAGCGAAACAGATCTTGTTTGACAAAAAAAGGTTTTTCATATTTTTGTTTTATTTCGATGCAAAGCATTGTTGATTATGTCAATTCTGCTATTAGTAACTATCATATTTATCAAACTAGTATTCAGAATGTGCAGGGATGCTTGGGTAAACAAATGAAACTAAATGGCTGGATTTCACTCATTTTGAGTAATAGAGAATGTGTAGTATTGAAATTTTATAATGGAGTATTCATGAATCAAGGATTTGTACTCAATGAGCAGAAAGTGTTAAAAGTGTTTGGAAATCATCAAATTGGTGCTATTTCGTATAGTGAACAACAATCCATAGAAGTAGTAGAAGGGATTGTAGATTTGGATCATGGAAGTCGATTTGAAGGGAAAGTATTGGCAGAAGGCAAGATAGGAATTCCATTTGGATATGGTGAAATGTATGATGATGATGGAATATTGGTGTACAAGGGCATAATGATCAATTGGAAACGATTTGGATATGGAACGAGTTATCATAATAATGGAGCGATTGAATATGAAGGATATTGGTGTGATGATAATCGATTTGGAATTGGAAAAGTGTATGATCGCAGAGACAATCTTATGAAAGATTGCTTGTGGTATAATAAAAGGGAAATTGGAATATATTACGGAGGCAATGGCTCAGAACCACTGAATATCGGAATGAAACATTTGAAACTGACTGACAATTGTGTATTGGTTGATTGGGATGTTTCATTATTGTATAATTTGGAATCAATCGAAATCGGCAATGATTGTTTTGAATCAATACAAACATTCCAAATCGATGGATTGAATCGATTGAAAACGATCAAAATCGGTAAGAATTCATTCACGCAGAAAAAGAATGATGATGGAAATGATAAATCAAAATCTTTCCACATATTGAATTGTGAATCATTGCAATCGATTGAAATACGGAAATATAGTTTCAGTGATTATGCTGGCGAATTTGAATTGAAGAATTGTCCACAATTACAATCCATTCAAATTGGGACAATCGGAAAACATTCATACAATTTTCGATGCAGTTCATTTGTGGTTCGAGGTATTGAACTGATATTGAATATTTGGGTAATGCATAGATCTTCCATCACTACAATCCATTACATTAGGTGATAGTGTGTTCAATAATTCCTTATCAACCATTATTGAAAGTATTGAATGAATTCGAATGAAATGATTAATATAGATCTTCCATCACTACAATCCATTCGACTCGGTCTTGATGCACTCAATGGATATAGTAATTGCAATTCAACAAGCTTTTTAATTATGAGAAGTATTAGTCTATACATTAAAATATAATATATAGATCTTCCAAAATTAGAAATAATTAATTCTGAAGGCCAAAGTTTCAGTCAACGGTGCACTTTAATTCTGGAAAGTATACTATACTATACTATCTGCGTAATATTCAGATATTCCTAATCTAAAAACCGTGAACCTGCCTTCTGGAGCATTTAAATCTGCTTTAAACCCTCAGGTTAAGAGTATTAGTAAACTCTTTCGTAAATAATAGATGTTAGCAAATTATTATTTGAAAGAGTATTATGTAAAGATTATATTGATTCAATTGATCATAATGCTCAAACCATTGTTCTTCCCTCTTGGTCTTGTAATGATACAAATTATAAGATTTTTGATTTCTCCAGGTTTTTGAATTTGGAATCAATCGAAATCGGCAATGATTGTTTTGGATCAGTGCAAACATTCAAAATCGATGGATTGAATCGATTAAAAACGATCAAAATCGGCAAGAATTCATTTACTAAAAAGAAATATAGTAGTGGAGATGACAAATCGAAGTCATTTTATGTATTGAATTGTGAATCATTGGAATCCATCCAAATTGGAGAATATAGTTTCAGTGATTATGCTGGAGAATTTGAATTGAAGAATTGTCCACAATTACAATCCATTCATATTGGTGTCATTGGTAGTTATTCGTGCAATTTCTATAACAGTTCCTTTGTGATTCGAGGTATTGAATTGATATTGAATAATAGGGTAATGATTAGATCTTCCAAATCTACGATCCATTACATTAGGTGACAAGTCGTTTAATGATTCTCAATTAACAGTTATTGAAAGTATTGAATGAAATTGACTGGAATAATTCGTGTAGATCTTCCATCACTACAATCCATTCAACTCGGAAAATGGTCATTACATGGAAGAAAAGGAAGTGAATCCTGTTCATTGGTAATGAGAAGTATTATTCATTTGATATAAACTGATTGAATGCAGATCTTCCAATTCTTGAAAAGATAATATCCAGTGGTTTAAGCTTCTACAATCCTCGTTCGGCAATATTAGAACGTAATTATGGATATGATAATAATACTATTTAATAGATATTCCCAATATCAATTCTGTTCATCTCCAGAATTCATTTACGAAACTGTTATTACCTCGAGTTAATAGTATAAATATTGTTATGATTTCTTCTAGATGTGTCAACCAAACTATTCCCTAAAATTTATCATATTCAGTTTATTCAGTCTATTGAATCAACTGTAACGACCATCGTCATTCCCAACTGGACTTGTAATGACAAGGATTACACAATCTTTGATTTTTCGCGATTCTTAGTGGTTGAATCAATAGAAATTGGAGATAATAGTTTTGGCTCAGTGAATACTTTTCGTATTGAGGGGCTGGATAAAATAGAAGTATTAAAAATTGGGAAAAATTCCTTTACCCAACTGAAAGAATCTAACTGGAATATATGCAAACTAGAGTATCAGTCGAAGGTATTCAATATTACGAACTGCAAGTGTTTGAAGTCGATTGAAATAGGTGAATTTAGTTTCAGTGATTTTGGAGGATTATTCTTATTGGATAACCTTCCTAACTTACAGTGTGTTCATATAGGAAAGATAGGACGCAAATCATATAACTTTTGTTATAGTTCATTTGTTATCCGAAGTATGTTATTTATTGAGTGGTGCATTTCCAGATCTTTCAAATCTCACGTCTGTTGTTTTGGGAAATCAAACATTCTACAGTTCTTTAAATACTATCATTGAGGGTTTGGAATCTGTTTTGTTATGAGTGGAATAGATCTTCCTGAGTTACAATCCATTGATCTTGGTTCCTTTGCGCTTTATGGAATGAGCGGTTTGACTAGCTCATTGCACATTCAAAGTATCAAGAATATCATTTAATGATTGAGTCTAGATCTTCCCAAATTATCATCGATTTTTTCTCAGGGATATAGTTTATATTATGCGTTTTCTTTATATTTATGCGGTATTTTATTATATAAATAAAAATAATCATAATGTAGATATTCCTAATTTACACAAAGTTAGTTTACCTGAATCCTTCCAAAGTGTTACGCACAGACACATAAAGAGTATTTACAGCTTAATCATTTCAAGTCATAGATATCACTTCAGAATTATACAGCTATTTATAAAACACTTCCTTGACCATGAAAAATAGTAGTGAATTAATAAAATGTCCTTTAGCATGTCAAGTTGTTTGATTGATTCATATTCCCTTGCTATTGATCCTTTGAGTGCTTTAGATTATGTATTATTAATACATGATTGTTGAAAATTCGCCAAAAATAAGTAAATTCCTAGCCATCGCACAACAGGCAGTTATTTGTTCGTAATTCACAAGCCTCAGGAACGTGATTCTCAGAACAAACAGAACATTGCCACTCTGGATTTAACGTCCACACATCATTTTTCAATCTCGCAAAACTCTTCAACAAGCGGCGGAACAAATACTTGTCATCGTTCTTTATCAAACTAAAACTCATTCCCTTCGCTCATTCTCACTTTTTAAAATACGAAACCACATTATCTGTCGAAGCTTTGTGATCTTTTCTCACTCGAAAGTAATGCAATATCTGATTGGCCATCTACTTCTCATTCGCTTTCTCCTCTCTCACAGCCAAATGCGAAGGAGATATCTCCTTCTTCTCTGTCTGGACAGATGCCGCAGGCCGTCGTTGCTTCAATCGCTTCAGAATCTCCGCAGACGACAATTCTGCTTCTCGATTTCGTTCCTTCACCTCTTCAATCTGATTCGCCATCATCGGGTTTTCTTCCCTACATTTCACATTCATCTGCTTCCTCTACGCATATTGATCTCGACTCTCGCGAAGCTGCCGCTGCAATTCCTCTGCTTCCTGCCGAGCCTCGCGGTCCATTCGAGACATTGTCACCACATCCGTGTTGTTAAACGCGTACTCGTGGTTGAAAACGGACTTCAACTCGCCGTGGTTGAACAGACAGGCGATCACTTTATCGCCTCCCTCCGCCGACTCTTCCTCGCTGTCTTCGTCGATTGGTTTCTGATCGACAACCGCGGGGATTTGCGTGTCTGGAAGGATCTCGCCTTCCGGGAAGATCTCTCCCGTTTCGGTGCCTCGCTCTCGCTTGGCTGGATGTGAAAAGAAGACAATGATTCGTACTGTATGTGAACAAATCGTTCAGATTGGTGCTAGTGAAGGAGCAGAGATCGTTTCCTTCTCCCAAAACGCGATTCGAAAGAACCGTTTTGAAGATTTGGCGGTGATAAATCTTCTCTTCGATCGTCCCGCTTGTGATCAGGCGGTAGATGGTGACCGGACGCTGCTGCCCGATTCGCCAACATCGCTCGCGCGCCTGAATATCGACGGATGGGTTCCAATCAGGATCAAAAAGAATGACACGATCGGCCCCAACGAGATTGATTCCGAGTCCTCCCACTCGCGTAGTCAGCAAAAACAGAAAGATTGTCGGATCGGAATTGAAGAGATCGACGAGAGCTTGGCGTTTCACGACAGGCGTGCTGCCGTCCATCATACAATACGAAAAGTGCTGTTCCTCGACGTATTTCATGATGATGGTGAGCATGGAGACGGTCTGCGTGTATATCAACACTTTGTGTCCCTCCTTCTTCCAAATATGAAGCACTTCGTTCATTACAATCATCTTGGAGGATTCTCGCCAATCCACTGCATCGAAATCGATGTCCATCTCAGAATCCCCGGCTTCGTCATTGAACACTTCATGAGAGGTCGGAGAAAGGCCACTCGGATCGTCTTTGGGTGTTTCTTCCTGATAGAACATTCTGTCGGTGTGGCGCAAATTTACAGAGCGATAGATTGGATTGGTGACGGTGGTTTCTGTGTGAAACAGGCGAAAGAACACGGGGTGGTTGCAGATCTGCCGCAGTCGAATGATGGCTTTGAAAGGCATGGAGCGACCGATCAACGAAGCCTGAACCAAATCGCTTTTGAGGTATTCGAGATAGCATTTTTCTTGTTCAGGAGAGAGGAGACACGACAATACTTGCTCTGTTTTGGGAGGCAATTCCTTCTTTACATCCTGGTTATCATCAACAATGTCGAAATCTACCTTTTTGAGTCGGCGTAGAATGTAGGGACTGATTGAGTCTTGAAGAATCAGCGAGCATTGATATCCTAAATTCGCTGCCTTCGCTGATGCATTCGAGTAAATGCCTCGCGAAATAGGGACAACGAACGCGCTAACAAAGGCTTCGAGCGTTCCGAGCCGTCCAGGAAACACGAAATCAATCAGCGACCACAGCTCTTTCAAATTGTTCTGTAGCGGAGTTCCGGAAATAAGAACGCGATGAACAGTCCGAAGCTTTTTGCATTCCTGCGCGATTGTGACTTTCGCATTCTTAATCTTTCCGCCCTCGTCCAAAACCGCATAAAACCAGTTCGTTCGGCGATACAGCGACGATTTCCTGAATCCTTCGTAGGTCGTGATGATCACGTCATAGCGATTCTTCTTCTTCTGCTGCTGCTGCTCGCTTTGCTGTAAAATCGACGCCAGGGTTTCGCCCTCCAGAACCGACTGGCTGGAGTTGTGGAGAACCACCGAGCGGAGCAGAGGACACCATCGATGGAGCTCTCGGATCCAGTGGCCGAGCAAAGTCGCTGGAACGATAATCAAGGAGGGGCGATTCGATTCATTGAGATGAAGCGATTCTGCGGCGTTTGGAGGAAAGTCTTTTTCTGCGAGTGGAAGTGAAAGAAGATCGCGGCCAGCACGTCGAAGCTCGCTTGTAAACTTCAGAACGATGAGCGTGACGATGATTTGAATCGTTTTGCCGAGTCCCATTTCGTCTGCGATGATTCCTCCTACGAGCTGGCCGTGGAGTTTCAGCATCCACTGCACTCCCTTCTGTTGATACGGGTAGAGAACCTCCCAGAGATGCGAGGGAACCGCGTGGCCAGAAGGCAGGAGCAGCGCTGGCTCCGAAAGATAAAACGACTTGAGTTGCTTTTGGAGTTTGGAGGGCGAAAGCGAGGAGGCGAGCGATTGATTCCAGTCGTTCAACGCGCTCGCTAGATTTTGAAATTTGTGAAGCGCTTCGTCCGTTAAGGGGCTTTGCGAAAGAGCCAATTGCCGCCAAGACAAGTACGAAGCAACGAGCGACGTGTAGAAAGCCTCGTCGCCGTCGTCCACAAGCACGTGATGGCTCTTTCCACGCACATCCACTCGCAGCTTTGCGCTGGGTTTGCGTTGCCGCGGTGAAGGCGAAGGCGTTGTTCTCCGAGACGATGAAGCGGGCTCTTCGGATTCCCACAAGTCGTCTTCCAGATCACGTGAAGTCAAGGGAGAGATCTCGTTCGATTGTGGATGATCCAAGCATTGTTCAACGTGATGAGTACGTTGAAGCAAGGTCATCGAAGAGGGAAACGGAGCATTGCAGATAGGACATCGTTCTTCTGATGGAGAAGAGGAGGGAGGAGGAATGTTGGATGTCGATTCGATTCGCTTCTTTGGTTCGGATTGTTGGGCTGATTTCTGAGTTTTCTTGCCTTTATCCATTTGGGATTGCTTCGCAGAATCAGAAGAAGCGGCGATTGCTGCAGCTGGCGATTCCCTTTTTTCCTCCACGTCGCGTTGGACCGGCAAAACGTCTGGATCGGTGAGTGGAGGGACTTTTGGTTGTTGTTGTTGTTCTTCTTCTTCTTCTTCTTCTTTGTCTTTCTTCCTTTCTTCTTGATGAACCACTTTTAGCGGCAATCTTTCTTTCATTTCTTCTCTGATTCCCTACCCCAAGGACTCCTCTAATAACCGCTCATGTCGTTTACGATCCGAGAGACTTCCCGTGGAGGAAAGCAACTTCATCTCTACGTGTTCAATTCCATATGTCTCTACGTTGCTTCTTAATACGCTCTTCTCTACGCTGCACGATATTTGCTAGTACACGTAGTTTAAGGGCAAAGAAATCCGCATCACTTAGCAGAGAAGAATATGTATGTTTCCCAGGTTCGGCATCCTGGAGTTGGTGTTTGTAGAGCGTTTGAAGTTTTCCGATGTTTTGAATTGTTGTTTTCGGAAGAGAATAGGTACAAAGAGATGTAACTGAAGTATGACACAAAATTGGTGAGTAAAACGTTTTTTAAATTCCGGAGATTCCTTTGCAGAAAGCGTAGCTGCCTGATCCAGAACATTTCTTTCAACTTCTTCCGAATCAAGAACTCTTACACCCAACGACGATAACCTGACATAGAAAATCGATTCTATTTCCCTACAAGCTTCGAGTACTCCCGGAAAAGGTAGAGTCAAGATTATCCTTGCCTACAGTCCTAATTTTCGTCATATCGATTGCTTTTTTACGGACAACAAAGGAAGGAGCAATTCGGTTTGAATTCGAATCTACAGACATTACAAACACTAAAATCGATCCACTTGTATTGCTTCCATCCTGTGCTTTGTCCATCGATAAATAACTTGACTTCTTTCGAACTTTTTACAGAATACTGTGAAAGATTTAAAAGTACTATTCTCAAAGCCGTTTCAATGGGTGACTCTCTTCATTATGCTCGTTGTCACAACTTCCTTGTATCGCAAATCCGCGGTTCTGCGTTTTAAATGCCTAATAATGGGGAGAATGAGGGTATATGATTATCAAAGGGAGGATGCACCACTGCACTTGCAAATTGGTTTCGTCTTGATGTACTTTTATTGCATTACTGGATTGGATTTGAAAGAAAACTCGGAATCATGCAACCTGTACCACCCGTGAATATTCTGGGCGTGGAGTATCCTGCCCTTGCCGATGGAAAGTATGACGCTGTCATTCTTGGAACTGGATTGAAGGAATGCATTGTTGCCGGACTTCTTGCCACCGAGGGAAAGAAGGTGGGAGGGTTCCGAGTCTTTTTGAGAAATAGGTTTTGGTTTTGGATCGCAATGACTACTATGGAGGCGATTGCGCATCTCTGAACCTGACTGTGATTTTTGTGCAGGTTGCCTAAGTTTTAGAACTTGTTCAAGAAATTCCGTGATCGCGAGCCTACCAAGGAGGAATTTGACCGTCTTGGCCAGAACCGCGACTACAACGTGGATCTGATCCCCAAATTCCTCATGGCATGCGGCAACCTTGTGAACATGCTTTTGCTGACCAAAGTGACGAACTATCTGGACTTCAAGCAGATCGAGGGCAGCTACGTGTACAACGGCAAGAACAAGACCGTTAGCAAGGTACTTCTTTGCCATCCCCCCTTTTGTTTTTCTCACTCCCAGATGCCCGCCACAACGCAGGAGGCGCTGAGCACTCCTCTGCTCTCCCTGATGCAGAAGATGAAGTACCGCAGCTTCCTGTCGAACGTGCTGCCCATGGAGATCCCCGGCGAGGACGGCGTGCCCGCGGACAAGGACGTTCCGCTGCTGCACATGACGATGCGCGAGCTGTACAAGAAATACGGCCTGGACGAGAACTGCATGGACTTCACGGGCCACGCGATGGCGCTGCGTCTGAACGACGACTATCTCGACGAGCCGGCCGTGGAGACGGTGAAGGCGATGAAGCTCTACGGCTACTCGCTGAACCAATACGGCTCCTCGCCCTTCCTCTACCCCATGTACGGCCTGGGCGGGCTGCCCGAGGGCTTCTCGCGCCTCTGCGCCATCAAGGGCGGCGTGTTCATGCTGAACCGCAACCCCGACGAGCTGCTCTTCGACGACGACGGCCGCATCAAGGGCGTGGTGTCCGACGGCGAGGCCGCGTCCTGCGAGTTCGTCGTGGGCGATCCGTCCTACTTCCCCGACGATATGCTCCGCGAGACCGGCAAGGTCGTGCGGTCGATCTGCCTGCTGAACCACCCCATCCAGGGCACCGGCGACTCCAAGTCCGCCCAGGTGATCATCCCCGCGAAGCAGGTGGTGCGAGCCGGCTACCCCAAGCGAAACTCCGGTGGGTTTTGCGGGAATCGTCGCGATTGTAGACATCTATGTGTCGTGCGTGTCGTTCGACCACGCGGTGTGCGCGAAGGGAATCTACATCGCGATCGCGTCGACGACGGTGGAGACGGAGGACCCGCAGAGAGAGCTGGCGCCCGCGATCGACCTGCTGGGCGACGTGCTGGAGCGATTCGATGACGTATCGGATACCTTCGAGCCGGTGAACGACGGAACCGAGGATCGGTGCTTTATCTCCACGTCGTATGATGCGACGAGGTAGAAATGAGGCGGATGTGTGAGGTAGTCACTTCGAAACGGTCGCTGATGATGTGCTGGATATCTATAAGAGAATTACGGGACATGAGCTGGACCTGACGTTGCCGAAGGAAGAATAAGGAAGGGAGTGTGTGTGTTGTGGGTTGTTTGTTGAGAAGAAAGAAGGGCGGAATACTAGTTTGATTTCCTGTGATTGTTCTTTTGGTTTCTAAAATCAATGATAAATGATGCTAGGATAGGAAAAGAAAAAATGTGTTGGGCTTCAATGGATATAATGGGAAATAATCAATGTGGATAACAATTGATAATCATTGAGTCTATTCTATTCATTTCTTTTTACATGATATGTACACAGAAAGTTGTTCCACTAAACAGATATGATCTTATTGACTGAACAATTTGTCATTCTGATTCGTTCTTATAATAGGTTATCGTTTTGCACTTTGACTGCAGACATGGAAGATTAAAAAGAAACACGTGAATCAGAATGTATGCTAAACAATCAAACAATAAGTGATATTAAACAAACTCTATGATATCAACTATCAATTTATTTAATAATAATAATCATCATTATGGACAAGATTAGCGAGAATGGAAGAAACATCTATAATTCAAATCAAGTCAGTCAAACAATACTCGAAATTGATTTCCATCGAACATATCGGAATGAGTAAAAGGGCAGAAATACATTTTGAAGATTTGGAATATCTAAATGCACTCAGTATTCATTATTACTCATTACTTTCCAATGTTACAAAATGGGAACGAAGAAAACTCGCCCCTTCAGAATTGATGGATAATAGATTTGGAAGATCTACAAAGCAAATCATTTCGAATCATATCAATTATACTTCGCATTGTTAAGGAACATGATTCATGACCTATTTTTCCTTCAAGTGCACTCTCACCCAGTTCAATTGATTGTAATGATGGAAGATCTACATTAATCATTTCATTCGAATTCATTCAATACTTTCAATTATGGTTGATAAGGATTCACGAAATGCCCAATTACCTAATGTAATGGATTGTAGATTTGGAAGATCTAATCATTACCCTATTATTTAATATCAGTTCAATACCTCGAACCACAAATGAACTACCATAGAAATTGCATGATTCATCTCTAATTATACCAATTTGAATGGATTGTAATTGTGGTAGATTCTTCAATTCAAAGTCTCCAGCATAATCACTGAAACTATATTGACCAATTTGAATGGATTCCAATGATCCACAATTCAATATATGGAATGATTTCGATTCATCACTGCCATTACTATACCTTTTCTGAGTGAATGAATTGCTTCCGATTTTGATAGTTTTCAATCGATTCAATCCATCGATTTGGAATGTTTGCACTGATTCAAAACATTCATCGCCGATTTCGATTGATTCCAAATTAGAAAACCACGAAACATCCCAATCAACCAATACACAATTGTCACTCAGTTTCAAATGTTTCATTTCGATATTCATTGGTTTACTTCCATCTCCTTCATATTTTTCATAAATATCACTTTCAATTCCATTGCACCACATGCATTCTTTTACAAACTCACCTTTACGACCATAGACTTTTCCAATTCCAAATCGATTATCATCACACCAATATCCTTCATATTCAATACATCCATTATTATGATAACTCGATCCATATCCAAATCGTTTCCAATTGATCATTATGCCCTTGTACACCAAGAATCCATCATCATCATACATTTCACCATATCCAAATGGAACTCCAAATTTGTTTTCTGTCAATACCAATCCTTCAAATCGACTTCCATGATCCAAATCCACGATTCCTTCTTCTACTACTTCTATGGATTGTTCTTCATTATATGAAATAGCACCAATTTGGTGATTTCCAAACACTTTCAACACTTTCTGCTCATTGAGGACAAATCCTTGATTCATGAATACTCCATTATCGAATTGCAATACTACACATTCTCTATTACTCAATATGAGTGAAATCCATCCATTTGGTTTCATTTCTTTACCCAAGCATCCCTGCACAACTTGGATGATGGAACTATCAATATGATAGTCACTAATAGCAGAATTGACAAAATCAGCAATGTTTTGCATCGAACGAGTAAAAAGTAAAAAGAATAATAGATAGTCTACAGTATTTACTCATTTGTTTGGACTCCATTCAAGATAAAATCCATTTCTTCATTGCTCAGAAGTCTTACCGATTATATCAATGAGTTTCTCAATCAAATACGAACATAATGTTTCCCAATCCGGAAAGCTATTCAGAAACAAGTAATACATTGATGATTGTAATAAACATACGTTGAGTTCACTATTTTCCACTTATTACCCACAATCAACTGCATCACATTATGGTACAAGCTTTGTTTCCAAGATAGAAATATAGAATTCTGTATTGTGTTTGACAAACAATAATCTGGGACCATATCATCAACAGATAATACACAACCTAGAATTGTTGATGCTCACCATTTCGACTTCTGTATAATTATTATATTTCTGAATATCTCATTATAGATACTGCTTATCCTTATCTGAGTCCCATTGCAAACTATGTACAATGTGGTTTTTGTGATTATCCAAAATAGGTACCATTTTTGTCATTTTTGACCATTTTGGAGGCTATTTTGTCAATTCTCTTGTTTGTTTTTCGTATTGAATATTTTGGCATTTGGTGAAGAGGGATGCCAGTGAACGTGAATGATAATTCTAGAAAAAGAAGTCGCATAGATATTGATCCCGGTACCGATTTCGTTGAACTCACTTATGAAGACGTTGTCATTGGTTCTGATGAAGATATAAATGATTCAAATGAAATGTATACTAATTTCCTATATTTTGAAAGGTTTAGCCTCTCGGTTGCAGCGGAAGAGCGAAAATCGAAAAGAATTAGGAATGCCGAAGGAGGACTTCAGATGTTTACAAAATTGGTGTGCGAAAAGTTGGAATCTGAAAAGCAAATGTCCAATTCTGATGTATGCTTACTTCAGTATGAGCGCTCTAGATTGCCGAGATTTTAGTGAGGGAACATTCCACAGGCGATCCCAAAAAGGTATCATTCGTTCCATTTTTTAAACCTAGAATGATAACATTCGTCGCCGTGTCTATGATGCGCTGAGCGTCATTCAGGCTATTGGTTTAGCCGAAAAGCATGGAAAAGTATATGTCTGGGTTGGAAGACCTTCTATATCCTCTACCTCTGAAGATAAACCTGTAAGTGATGCAATCATAGCTTTTCCTCAGATGCTGAGCCGCATGGAGCGAATGTACGAAGACAAGCGACGAGCGCTTATTCAGCTCGTCCGACGCGTTGAATCCACTCTTTTCTTTTCAATGTAGTGTGTAGGAATGGAATATCTTCGCCTGCACAGTTCCCATTCTCTTGACTCGATAAATCCTTCGAAACATGGTATTTTCTCTTCTCTCTTCCTTATTTCTTAAAGATCCCACACAATCCAAATCAAAACACACCACCGACGCTTCTGCTGATGGTTTCTCCAGTTTCTCCTTTTCATCCTAGAGCTCGGCGAGTTTCGCCTTCCTTTCCTGGTCCTCACAACAGCAGCTTCTTCGCACATGCTGATGGAGACGGATGGTCGAAACAGCGAAATGTACATTAACATTAACCAATCCTATCTGCTCTGCAACAGCGACACCGTGCTCACAGAGCTCGCCTATGACGACATCCACCGCCTCGAGCCCAGCTACGCCAACACGCTGCTGCAGCTCATCGTTCGCTGGTAGAATCGAGTTCGGGGTCATTCATTCAGCCGTGTCCCGAAAGATGTCATCGAAGAGGCCCTTCAAATCAAGCTCGCCCCCGAAGTCTTCGACCTCTCCCTGGCTCCGAGCGGCAGCAGACCGCAGGGAGGCCGATCGGAGCCCCGTCTGGACGGTCTGAACGCGATCGTCAGCGCGGCGCAGCAGTTGGAATCCAGCCAGCAGACGCCTCCAGTGCAATCGATGCAATCGATGCCTTCGATGCCTTCAATGCCTTCAATGCCTTCGATGCCTGCGACTCCTTCAGTGTCTGTGGTGCCTGTGGTGCCGCCGATATCGGTGGCTCCTCCGTTGTCTTCCATGCCTCCGACGCCGCAGCTGGGGCTGGGGGCAAGCGCGAGCTTGGGGAGCCAGCTGCTGGGGTCGCTGCGACTGCCGTCCTTGTCGTCGGAGGCGGCGCCGGAGGGCGGGTGATAGTTTGTGTGCTGTGGATGATTGATGGGTGGGTGATGGGTAGTTAGTGAACGATTGTGCTCTGTTGTATTGTGCGTTGTTTGTTGAACAAAGACGAGAAGGGAAGATTTGCGTTGTGAGGGGGTCGGTGGAGGCTTGGTCGGGGAACGGAGCCACCAGTTCCGTCGACATCGGCGAGGGAATGGAGAGAGAAGTGGAAGACTCGCTGCGGTCCTTGGCGTCCTGCGGCTCCTCAGATCCCTGAGACTGCGTTGGCTCTATTGGCTCCTTGGAATCGGTTCGCTCTGTGGATTCGTTGGATTGGCTCGAAACCTTCTTCTCTTCCGATTCAATGAATTCACTTCGATCATTCTGCTCTGCAGATTCGTCGATCTTCACACGATTTTTATTCTCCTCTTCCTTCTCTTTCTCTTTCTCTTTGTCCTTCTCTTTGTCCTTCTCCTTCTCTTCTTCCTCCTCTAAATGAATTGAATCCGAACTCTCCATAAGTTCCTCGTCTTCCGAGTCCTCCAACTTCGGCTCATCCTCTTCGCCTTCTTTCCGCACATGCTCAATCTCCTGGGCCTCGCCGTTCTGCCCATTCTTCACCTCGATCTCCACCACATCCGACGCCTGCACTTCGATCTCCACGTCCGAATACGCGTCGTTCTGCGTCGCTTCCGGCTCGGACGGCGGCACGGACTCAATCACTTCCTCCTCCACTTCCTTCACTACACTCAACTGCAGTTTATTGAACAGCTCTAAGTTCATGCGCGGCGTGATTTCCTTCTTCAGCGAATCGCCCACCTTCTTCAAGATCATCACAGGCGATTTGTCCAGCAGCTGCGTCTTCAACGACCCGATCAAATCCGGCTTTGCTGCCGATCGCCAGTGATGCGAGTTGATTTTATTGATCAGATCCGCCTGCGCCTCGTCGTTCACCGACTGCGAATCGTACGAAGGCCCGTGCAGCTGCTGGCAAATCGTGAGCGCGCGCAGCCCGGCGATCGACCGGATGGACCGATACGCGTTGCCGGTCTTCATGAGATCGTACGGCGTCGGAGAAGAGCGCAGCTCACTCTGCGAATCGTTCTCGATCCGACTCTGTTCCAGCGAGATCTCCATCGATTCGACGGCCTCCGGAGTCACCTGCATGAGCTCCGGAATGTCCACATCGTGAGGCTTGTCGCGCATCGTCTTGAGCTCCAGCTCGAGCGAGCGCTTCTTCTCCATCTCCTCGAGCGACGTCTTGACGACTTCGGGATCGGCGTCGCGCACCTGCACGTCCTGGATGAACTGGGAGAGAGAAGGCGACTGCTCGCGCTGAATGGCGTGGACCATCATCGTGGGGAGCAGGGCGAGGACGGTGGCGAGGAAGAAAAGAAGGTAGAAGATGGGGGACTGGAAGAGGAGGTCGAAGGAGTGGAAATAGTTGGGGTAGAGAGAAACGGAGAAGGACGTGCTGAGCACCAGCAGAAGCCAGAAGATGAAGGTGCCCCAGAAGCAGAACGAGGAGAAGAAGAACATGATCGACTGCTCGGAGGACGAAGAGAGATTGGCGGTAAAAATGCAGATCGTAACGGCGACCATTCCGAAGCTCCAGACATCCACCGTGCCGATCGGGAAGTCCGCAGTGTCCAGAACGTAGTAGAGAACGAGGAACATCACCAGCGCTTCGTACACCGCTTTCACAAAATAGAGGAGGAACCGACGCACCGAGAAGAGCCGGTGGTCGATGCCCTCGCGATGCAGCTGAGGGAAGCGGATGCAGTTCGCATCGCTGATGTCCTTGTCGAAAATCGCCAGCAGAAGCGGACCGAACGCCGTGAGCGCCGTGTTGTACCAGAAAATCGCGATGTAGGACTGGTTTCGCGTGCCTGGGATGAGAGAATTCGATCGAACGTACCGGAGAGGCCGCAGAGGAAGGTGTAGAAATACTGAATGAGCGTGAAAATGATGTTCTTGTAGAAGATGAGGAGCGAGGCGAGCGTGATTCCGCGGTAGCTTCGATGTCCATACACCAAAATCAGTCGCGTGAGGAATCGGAATTGCCCAATAGCGTAGTCGGAATTGTTCACCGCCTGCGTTCCTTCCTTCCCGATCACGCCGACCCCCACATGCGCAGCACGCAGCATTTCGACGTCGTTGGCTCCATCGCCGATCCCCAGCGTCACGACTTCCGTGTTTCCTTCGCGAACCAGACGCGTCAGCTTCGCTTTCTGGTCCTTGCGAGCGCGACACGCGATGACGGTCTTGCAGGATTGCGACACCACGAGGAACTATCACATCAGCGATCCAGTGGAGATAAAAAATACGGCTTGACGACAGGAGAGAGCGAGGAAGTCGATGAAGAGCTCATCGATCACGAGAGCCATCGGCTTGGTCGTCACATCCAACTCTGAATTCAAGATCTGCGCGGCGAGCGCCTAGCCATCACGCCTTCGATCTGCAAACCAAACCTCGCAGTGCATTCGAGCGGCCAACAATCCGGGATGCTTCGCTTCGAATTCGCCTAAGATTCGATTGGCCTTCTCCACGCTGCCCTCCTTCTCCGCCTCCAGCATTTTCCACTCCACTTCCTGAATCGACGAGCTACCCGTCAAACCCCGATCACTCCCCTACGGAGAGATCTTCTCCGTCAAATCCTCCACGCGTCCTCCCTTCCCCAACAAATTATTATCCACCGCCTCCTTCGTGAACTCCACGAGCTTCATGTCCGGGAGCTTCAGCAGATTGCACGCGACGGCGATGTTCTTTGCGGTCCCTACCTTGTCTCCCGTGATCATCCAGATGTGGATCCCCGCGTTCGACAGTTCCTCCAACGCCTCCGGCACGCCGTCCTGCAGACTGTCCTCGATCGCCGTGGCGCCCTGCAGAATCAGCCCGCTCTCCAACTCGAATTCCAGCTTGTCGATCTTGTTCGATTTCTTCTTCCGGCGGAGCTCTTTCTGCTCGGGGTCCTCGCTCGCCTGCTCGTACGCTTCCATCCACGCAGAGAACTGCTCAGGAAGAAGCGGCTTGTACCCGAACACCATGGTGCGGAACGCTTCTTCCGCCCAGTTGCTGACTTGGCACGCGAGATTCTCGACGAAGCGCGAGCTGTTGATCGCAGGGTCTTGTAGCTCCAGCATGATGCTATCTGCGCCTTTGCAGTACAGCAGAATCGATCCGTCCGGCATCTGCACCACCATCGACATGCGTTTCCGCGAGGATTCGTAGGGAACCACGTGCAGAACGCGGAGTTCCACGATTTCTCCGAGGACGTTGAGCTTGATGATGTTGGTCTCGTAGTCCATGCCGAGGAACTGCACGCCGAGGCAGTAGGAGCCAGCGACGAAGGCCTGCTCATCGGGAGACGAGGCGTTGAGTTCGATGGTTCCGTCTTCGCGTTCCTCGACGATCACCGTGTGATTGATCGCCATGTGAATCAAGAAGTTCATCAGTTTCTATGCATTAGAGAGTGGGTTCGAGGACACATCCGCGTGGTCGTCGTTCTTTCGGAGATCGTCTTGCAGCCGATGGCCCGGATGGCTCTCACTTCCGTCCTGGAAATTGTTGTATCGGAAGATTCCCTTGCGAAGCGGCGGCTTCTCCACCACTACCTCCACGCCTTTGCTTTGTTGTTTGTTCTTCACAGAGCGGCCGATCGCGCTGTCGCCCACTCCGTACGACACGCCATCGACTAAACACTTTCGGAACTGCATTAAATTCGCCGTCAGCGTTCCGGTTTTGTCGCTGAAAATATACCCGACTTGGCCCAAATCGTCGTTGAGCGTCGACGTTCGCACACGCATCGGCTCGTCCTTCTCTTCGTCATACCTAGAGAGAATCTCCCGGATTCAACGATTCAAACATTTGGAGATCGTTCTGCATGAAGAAACTCTGCATCGAATAGACCAGACTCATCGTCACGTAGAGCGACACGGGCACGAACTGATAGCAGAGCAGGAAGAACCGGAAGAAGGACAACCAGAACGACCCGAAAATATCGATTGTGATCGGAATGTACCAGGATTTCTCAACGATCATCTTCGAAATCACGTTCTCTCCCAGCGATCCCTACACTTCACTCCTCTCTTTCACGCCCACAATCACACACAGCAGGATTAAAATCCCGATCAGACAGTAAATCACTTTGTTCGTTCGCTGCGTCAGCATTGCGATCTTGCTTCCACTCCCCTTTTCATCACATCTGACCCTCGTTCCTACTCCAACTTGCCACCATTTTCGCTTCACCGCGCCGAACTCCACTTTCGTGTCGGTTCCCGTCGAAATCACAGCGCCGTACACGAATTTGGTGTTCTTCAGAATGCATCCGCGCAGCAGAACGTTCTTGATCGACACGGACTCCTTCTCTTCGCTCGATTCTCCGTTCTCCGATCGCACCGTTGTCGTTAACTAGCCATCACACGACTGTCTCGTCCATACCGAGCCATTGAAGTCGTTCGTCATGTTGTTCGGAAGCTCGCAGTTCAGAACAGCGTGCAATCCGCACAGCTCTTTGGCCGTCTCGTTGATTGGCTGGCCGTTGCGTTCACTGGTCGTCTGCTTTGGTTCATTCCTTAAGAGCTTCCTACTTTCATGGCTTGGCGGTATTTGTTGTCCGTTTCGCCGTCTAGACTTTTTGTGTTGACCCAGCACGACTTGTAGGCTTTGGGATCTCCTGAGCGGAGAAAGAGCATATCCGCGGGGAAGATGTCTCCCTCGTAGACTTTCACGATGTCTCCCACACGCACCTTGAATTGAGGAACGCTCTCGAACTGCTGGGTTTCTTTGTTTAGAACCTCGATGGGACGGTCGTTGGTGCGCTTGTCGGCACGGTGGCGGTTGAGATCCTCCCGAACTGTGAATTACGAGCCAACGCCAAATCTACTTGAGGTAATAGCTTCTACAAAGAGGACAAAAGCAAGTGAGGTAATAGACTCCGGCCTTCCATTGGTAATAGAAATAGCAGGAATGCACTATGCCTTAATTTAAATCTTCTCCCCGACCTCACAAATAGCAACACACAAGAAATAAAAATTGGCAAACTTATTAAAGGGATTCAAGTTTTCGTACAGAAACAAAAATAGGAAGTTCCACCAAGTGTACTTGGATGTAATCACTTTGTTACTTGCAAATCCTTTGTCGAGATTGGCTTCCGCATCATTGATCACACTAGCATGTTATCGGCGCCTCCAATAATCCTTACACCACTTTCGATGGAGGGGCCTTTACACGCTGAACACTTTGATGATTTCGTACAACATCCTCACTATGCCATGAGCACGTTCACCGCTAAAAATTACCGATCACCGTCATTAAAAGGCAGAGGCTTCTGAGGATCAGTGGAATCGCTCGACATTCTATCGAATAACAAATGTGAAGAAAAGGGATTTCGATAATCCGGTCTTATTTTGAAAAAACAGACCCAATTCGCAATAATAATAGGCAATATCATTAACACTTCTCTCTACATTCTTCTTCGCACGCTCATGACAGACGTGCTTCCCATTGCCGATCTCCTCATCACAGGAGGGATGATTTTGTCCTTCGGTGAAGCGTCCAGCTCATCATCTTCCTGAATCAGCTCCATCATGCCGTCCGAATTCAGAGACATCTTCGGCGACACACCCAGCAAGCAATTCGACGACAATCGGATGGACTTCTTCATCGAGTTGTAATAGCTCGACCGCGTACCGCCTACACTCAATCTCCGCACCGATCCAAACTCGACCGCACATCCTCCTTCAGCTGATCGCGTTCTCTGACAATGCATGCCATGTCCTGCAGGAATGATCCTAGCAGCTGCTGCTCCTTCTCCGGAAGCTGCTTAGCGTGCAGCACATACGGATGCTGAGCCAAAATCGGAGGAAGCTCGTCCAGATGGAGCAGGAAGGTCGACGGCGTCTCTGGCTGCTCATCGCTGAGTTCGTCGGCCAGCGGCGTCAATCTACACAACACGCAAGCGTCTAAAGCGCACTCGTCCTCGTCCACATCGATGAGCTCGAGGTAGGAGACGATCTGCGGCTGGATGAGAACGAGGCTTCGGAACTCCTGGAAGGTCATGGCGTCGCTGGACTGCGTGTTCACCGCGAACACGATCTTCACGTATTTCTCGGCGGCGTGCTCCACGTCCACCATCGTTCCGCACTCGCGATATCTACCCATCAGTCCATTCAATAGAGAGAGCAAACACCGCGTTGATGAAGTCCAGGAAGGCGGGCCGGATCATCACGCCCTCGCCCTTCATATCGAAGATGCTGAAATAGTACTGCAGCCGCGTGCTCACGTCCACCTTCTCTTCACTTTTCTTTCCAATTCTACCTTCTCGCTCACCAGCGACAGCACGCCTTTCAGCAGGAACCGCACGTCGATCACCGGCTTGCCCTCGCGCAGCGTCTTGTACTCGCGGAACAGCTCCAGCGCCGCTTTCGGATCGTCGATCGACAGAATCCTCTGCCGACGCAGCGACTCCCACAGCTAGGCCTCACGCTCTCGATTCGATCCTCACCGACACGAACTCGTCTTCCGTGAACCCCGTGTAGCAGTAATCGCGGATGTTCTTGCTGCTCAGGCGGTCGGCCGACACGCCCAGCGCGGCGGAGCAGTGCTCGAGGATGTAGTCCACGATGCCCTTCTTCATCCGCTCCACGACTTCCAGCGAGATCTCCAGGTTCCTACGCGTCAAACCCCGATCTCTCCTCGACTTCAGCGAGGAATCCGGCTGCGACGCGTCGATCTAGCGCTCAGAGAGAGAGAAAAAAGCAAACAGGAGAGGACGAGGAGAGCATGTTCCGCACGGACATCCGAATACTCATCTGCTTGGTGATGGACTGATGGATCGTCTCCGCCACCTGCTTCTTCATCGCCGATTCCTCCCGTCTACTCCTCACTCGCTCCTCCAATCCGCACTTCAACTCCTCCAGCGTGTCCACGCGCATGATCCGGATGCGAGACAGCGAGATTCCCAGCTTCTCCAGCCCGCGGAAGTCGCTTGGGATCGCCTCGGCGAGCTTCTCTGAACGATCAAAACCCGATCACAAAGCGACCGTTCAAAAACACGACGATCTCTTCGAGGTCGTTCATGCCGCGCAGGACCTTCTCGTAGTTCAGGAAAATCTGCATGGCCGTCGCGTGAATCACGTGGGAACCGTAATAAAACACGCGATCCCTGCGATTCAGATCACATCGCATCATCGCTACCAGATGTACTCGGTGACATCGATGGGCAGAATGTTGATGAACAGACATAAAAACCAATGGAATGTCAGGTGAGTCAGCGAAATGTCGTTCGCATCAAAATGGTCTGTTAGGTCGGGGAGTTTCTCGGAGAGGAGATACAGGAAGATGCGCTCGTCCACTTTCATTCCTGTCTAATGGAAATAAGAAAAAACTCAGGAAGGAAGCGTACAAGTTCGTCCGTGAAATAGTTCGGAAAGAGAATACGGTTAATGCAGACTTGGGTGTAAAATGCGAGTTCGTTGTCCATGTAGGATAACAGTAGCGCAGCAATAAAGTTCATTGATTGGCAATAGCCTCCCTCCACTAACACTCAGCAACCGGCATGATTCCAATACGACGAAGTTCGTACGACACGGCCTTCAGCACTTCCTTCAAGTCACTAATCTCCTTTTCAGAAAGCTCTTTCTTTCCTTTCAGCGAAGTTCTACCGTTCAGGCACAAAAACTACTCCCACCTATGAATATCCTTTTCAATTTGGATTGCGTCCTTACTGGTAGTGTCCTTACTCGACGCAGCCACAATATTCTTGTAATAGTCTTTGCCACACTCTTCGCGCATATCTTTTCCTCCGCTTAGCTCAAACCAAGCATTCCCTCGCTTTTTCTCATTAATCCCACGGTTCTCCTCCATGTACTTATCGTACTTGGTAGCCGGGTAGCGCAGTGACCATGCGACAATCTTCTAACCATCGGCAGAGAAAAATAGAACTACCTGCTTTTTTGCACTTGGCTTCTGTTTTGGAGACACCTCTGATCTTCCTTTAATCTTGAATTTTCCGAACATACTAAAGCGCAGCCACTACAATGAGAAATGCACGAAGATGATGATAAACGCACCAATGTACATGTGCATCCAATGAAATATTAGCGTAACGAACAAACAAATAACAACATCATCAAATCCTTTTCATTGCATAGCGTTCTACTGGTTACAGTGAGAAGAACAATAAAAACTTGACGGAAATGGACTTGGAAGAACTTTTGAGCAATGCACTCAGAACTGGCTTCGGTCCGATTTCAACGAATTCGTTGATTCCGAAATTTAAGGCCTGCGTTACACATTCATTCCAGAGCACCGGCGATGAGAGCTGCTTTCCCACCCTTTCCAAAATGGCATCCTTCGAATCCATCTACTTCTCACAAATTCACCGCAAAGTCAAACTAGCGACCCGTCCAAATTCGAAAGAACAGGGAAAAGCGGATCCTTCACATCGAATGTTCGCACATAGCTTTCCAATTCATCGGAAGCGCTCTTTAAAAGACTGCTGTGAAATGGGTATTTCACATTCATCAAAACGACACGTGCTCTCTTTCCTCCCTCTAATTGCTTTAAAACCGGCTGTAAACGCAGCAGCTGAGCACGTTCCCCGCTGACTACAGTTTGTGATGGAGCGTTGAGATTGGTGACCTCGCAGAGACCCGTGTGTTGCCTGGTGAGCTGCTCGACTGCCTTTTGAATGGTCGATAGAGGAGTGAAAAGCACGGCAGCCATTCCATAATCCAAGTTTTGGCATGCAGAGATTGTTAAGTCGGCTCGTTTTTTCTATATCATATGTCTGCCATTTTGGTACGAGGATGAGCGCACAATCATGCAGTGAAAGGGATGAAGCAGCATAGTAAGCCACAAATTCACCCACAGAATGGCCGGCTACCACCTTTGGAGTCAAATCGATATCCAAACTCTAAATAAATGAAAGTACAAAATACCAACTTTCAAGGCTTCCAAAATCATAGCGTCAAATGCCAAAATACCTAGTTGAGTGTTGCGAGTGTTGAGGAGTTGGTCCTATGATGTCATTTCTGGTTATCACAGTACTTCTGGACCTGAAAACATTATTTTAGATAGCGAATAGCCCAAGGTGGAGTCAATCTCTTCCAAAATGTGTTTTGTATGTGGAAATTGCTTTAACAGAGACTGACCCATACCAATCCATTGCGAACCTTGTCCTGTGAATGCTAGAAGGCGACTTATCTTGGTGGTTGCCATATAGGTTGTTTGGAAATGAAATTAAACAGTCCAAATACTAGAGTTTATAATAAAGTTATAATATATAGATTTTATTTGGTGATTGTGTATTAAAGAGGCGGTCTCATTGAGGGAAATGCAAAGTATTAGAGAATTGGAAATGTGATAAGTGGAAATGGGAACTGCGACTTAACAAGTTCAAGTAAAACAAAGTATATAAGGGCATACAGAACAGTCAAATAAAGGAATTTCATGCTGTTGAAGGCGTGATATTTGTTTCATTACCCTAATCAACAGTATCACAATGATTTCTTTCCTCCTTTTTGATTGAACCACAAGATACTAAAGGATGAATGTATAATTTTGCAGCAACGTCTTCATCCTCATCGTAAAGGTCAGACTCATTGAAGGTTTCTATGTTATCTCGTTCGAATGCATCCAAGCGTTCATTTAAAATCTTCAACTATCACGAATTTGAAACCCTTTACTTGTTCACGAGTGATACTATCAATTGTATTTTTGTTCTTTGTACTCGTACGCAAACGAGAGGCCCATTTCTTATTCCTGCTTTCGGTTTGTCGATGACCCGATTCCAACATCGCTTGATCCCAATCCAATTTCCCTCTCTTGCCCATTGGGTCGACAGTGATACAAAATACTCAATTCTAAGCAAGGAAATCGATCTTTGAGTTCAAATGAAACTGCCTCTCAAATCGAAAATAGTGGCTACTTTTGTCAAACAACTATTGGGACATGGGTTCACACAGGGCTTGTACCTACTTGAGTCTTTTAGCAAGTATAATCGCGGCTTTTTGTAATACTGAGTTCCAATCTCATAGGTTGCTGATTTCGGATCTTTCCTTTCAATGAATCCTGTAAAGCATGAAACTACGAAGAATGGGAGTGATCAGAACATTGAAATAGGAATAGACGATGCTGCCAGTTGGGTAGACAAGGTGGATCCACAACAGGTAATTTGACTGCTTTTTGCTGCTTGTCTGATTCTCATATTTTCTAGCTTACCAGTCGGTATGAATCTCTGAAGTGTCTGCTACGTGAAATCCAGAGTGAAATTGTGAAGCGCCAGTCGTATTCGGACTCAATTTCGGGTTCTTCCTTTTTGTCTGTAATTCAGTCCTTGGTCAATCCTTCTCGAGATCAACGTAAAAGCTCTCGTTCGAGGTCCGAGACAAAACAGAAGAGTGTTCGTGTGGCATCTTCGCCCCTTATGTCGGATCTGAGTGTAAATGATACAACACCCAATATGTCTATCTATTCTCCCTCCGTGGCCAGGATCACCCCATTGTCCTCTGCCTCTGCAACGCCACTTGCGATCAAATCGGAGTCTCTAACTCCTCGTTCCCAAAGTGATTGTGGTGAGGTAAGTCCAATGGTTCTAATTCGACGCAGAACGCCTTGCCTTCGCTGCAAACCCAGTCTATTTCCATGGAATCTTACGTAGAGGAGTGTGTGTGCGTGAACCCTAGAAGCCTGTTGCTACCCCTTTGCTGTATCGGCGCGTAGTGGAAGCCATGATCACCGTAGCGCGAATGGGTAGGGCAGACAGCAGCGATTCGATGCAGGCGTTCACACCGAATCAGAGTTGATCCACTGCACTGAAATGTATTTATCGAAGGAATGTCCGCAGCTGAGTTTGCCGCAGGTTTTGGCTCGGTTTCTCTTGCCGACCGTCTGCAGAGTTCTGCTTTTCCTCGGCATTCTCACGCCTTTTTCGGCCAATTCCACATCCAATTCCCCTTTCTCTCTTCCAGTTTCTCCAGTTTCTCCAGTTTCTCCAGTTTCGCTTCCCTCTTTTGTCTTCCTTCCTTGTTCGCAGACCGACTTTTCTTCGCGAAATCCCTCCGTCAACCCTTCGAATTTCGCTCTCCACGACCCGCTTCTTCGCATCAAAGAAGAAAATCCAGCGGCTTCTCAAGCAGGAATCGATCTGCGGTCGCTTCCCGAAGGAACGAAGAAGCTTCTGAATGCGTGGATTGGAAAGAAGAGCGCGGAGTGGACGTCGACTTCCGCGTCGATCGTTCAATTCACCGCGAGTCTTCTCGAATCCATTCCACTTATGGGCGTTTCATCGATGAATCGATCGAAAGTAGTTCCTTGTTTCTCCTTTTCATGCAAGACGCGCTTTGTCTTCCCTGCGTTTCTCTCGACTCTTCTCGTTTCGCCTTCCTTAACAATGCAGCAGCTCGATGAACTCGATTCTTCATCGCAAAGTCTTCTGTTTGTTCTCTTCGTTTTCATTGAGTCTCGTAGAATCGCAGCGATTTGCTCCGCTTCTTCTTCATCTTCTTCATCTTCTTCTCTTGGAATCGGATCGGCTGTCTCTTTTTCACCATTCGATTCATCGCGAAAATCCTCCGTTTCGCGCGTCGGTCTGAGCGAAAACACGCCGCAGCTCGAATTTGTGGCTTCTGGAGAGTTTTGGAAGTGGCAAGCGGAGGCAGTTCGAGCTCGCAGAGAAGCGGAGAAGCTGTGCGGAAAAGAACGAAAGCTGTGGGCGGAGTTTTTAAAGCGATTCGGCGTGATTCTGCGTGGGTTGATTGGCTTGCAATTTTTGGATAGAAGGCGCTTTCAGCTCCAAAGAAGTTCAAAAGCGCGAGAATTCGATTCGACGCGTGCCTCGACAGCGCGAAAAAGACACGAGCGAGCTATCGCGTAGACGTTTGGGTTTGTTGGAACGCGTAGAATTGCTAGTGAGCAAGCCGCTGAGCAGCTTCGACAACGATCTGTACGTGTATTCTCGGCCGTAATCGATTCGAATTTGCTTGATTGCAGTATTCCTTGGTCGGAAGTGATCGAAAACTTCGCGCCCCCCGAGCGAGCTTCGAAGCTCCCGATGACTTCGATGGGTTCGATGAGTTCAATGAATGCAATGAACTCGATGAACTCGATGAATGCGATGAATGGATTGAATGGGAGTGCGCCGGGTTTGGAGGAGGGAAAGCGGATTTCGACGCCGAAAGCGCGGATTGTGAATCGAAAGCGGAGCGTTGTGGGGAGAGAGGAGAAGATTGCGAGAGAGGGGAATGGGAAACGAAGTCGTGTGGTGGAGGAAGATGCGTATTACTTGAAAATGAATACGGAGAACTTGCAAGCACTGAAAGCGCATTTGGAAAGTGTGAAGCTAAAGGAGAAGGAGCTGAAGCAGAAGAAGCATAAACGGAAGGTTTGACTTCTTCGAATGCGTTTGTCTTTTTATTGTACTAGTAGGGGTATGAACCTTTGTGTGTTTGTTGAAAACCTGATTGTCATTATTATTTTCCTGTCTACTAGAATCCAATGTCTGAATTAGAGGTATTTTGTTGAAGATCGGAGTGAGCTCGTAGAAGAAATTTAACGAAACCGCTGAGTTTGTTCGTTCGTGGCATCCTGCCAAAACTGTGTCAAATGAGGACAAGCTCGCTGGATACTCTCTATTCAAGCAAGCCACTATTGGAGATTGCAACATTCCTGCCCCTGGAATCTTCTCGTTGACTGTATGTTGGATTTTCTTGTAGTGATGGATAGGAGAGAGCGAAGTGGAATGCCTGGAATGCCTTGAAGGGTAGAATTGTTGTTTGATTCGGTGAGTTTGTAGGCATGTCGAAGGAGGAAGCTATGCAAAAGTATATCGATTGTATCGAGGCTCAGAAGGTTAAATATGCATAATTAGTGTGTTTGTTTGCTAGTTGTTGTCAAGAGTCAGATTTGCTTGAGGAAGCTACTCTCACGAAGCATACACTGTTGGTGCTTTGTCAAATGTTGATACTGCTGTGTATCGCATGAAAGTTGAAGGAAATGATGACTTTGTGAAAAAGGAGTAATGAGTTCAGGAACTGCAAAATAGAATCATTATGAACCAGTAAATGAGGAATAAGCCAATAGTAGCAAGCAACAGCAAAAGATAAGTTCCAATGAATAGCTAGGTGAAATGATATTATGGTAATGATTGCTTGTGCTTTTCATAGCACAAAAAAGTGTTTAATATGGAACTTACTGACTTATGCTATAACCAACATATTAAGACCATTCTTTAAGAATGAAATACTATTTTGCATTTCAAGTTCCGAAGTTTAGTATTAATAAGACAATAACTGCTTAAACATCATCAAGATACCATAAATAGTCCTTTGAGTTGGTTTTCTGGGTTGAGAGAATCAAAACAGAGTATTTGAAGGTTTGCTGATAGTCTTGGACCAATTTGGGTTATAACGATATTAACATTATGTTAACTTATACATATTTGAAACATAACAAATATATAGAGTATTGAAATGGGATGATGAAACTATTATCGTTGTGATATACTAGTATTCACATTGCACATAATTGGATAGAGTGTGTTGTGGTAAATATGGAAAACTAACAGAATCATGCATAGAAGCACGATTAGCCTGTGTTGGCCAGGAATAGTTAGTTTAATAGTTATATGTTTGGCCAAGTCCACCCTGCGATCAAAAGTGATAATTGGAAGTATTTGGGAAAATCACAAAACTACCTTTGAATCAACTTTTACTAGAAGAAAGAAATAAAAACATATAAGTATAGATTTATGCGTCGCTAATAATGCTAATTCATCTATTTGAATATAACCAATTAGATAAGAAGAATGCGTCATTTTTGTAATTATAGCTTGACTTTTTAGTTACTAGTTTCGTTATATTTAACCACAAATTATTAATAATTACTAATGATGAGTGTTATCTCCCTGATTCTGTTCCTCTTGCAACTGATCTACGCTGCTCCGAGCTACTCATGCGACGATTCTGGCTATGACGAGTATCTGAAATATTATCTGTCGAAGTGCGGAACTGACTGTGATGAATACAAGACGTACCACACTGATTATTTATCCTAAATCATAGGAAGCATTTTGCATCTTTCGAAAAATCCTGTATTGAGATTAAGACCAAGGCTACTTACAGAGATTATCCCATGGATTTCTCCATTCTATCCGACTTCAGTGATGACGACTTGGTAGTTATGATGGATATTGGAGAGAAGTATTCGCATATGGGATCTTATTATTTGCCTGATACAATTACTAAGCCTACTTGGAGAGGTGATTATGTTGCTTCTGACTTGTGTCCTGGATTTGAAAGCTATTCTACCTCCACCTCCACTTCCACTTCGTGGGCAAGTGCCATTGTTCATGCTGCAGAATATGCTTTTTCGAAAGCAGGATATGAAGAAAGGTTATCTCTGAAGTATGTTCTGAAGTGCCTTCCAGAGTTCAGTGAATCCCAGCCTAACGAGATCAAGACTTCGGATATCATATCATTCATTGCTGAGAACGGTTTAATGACAGAGCGCGTGGCTTCTTCTTTGGGTGAGGATGAACTCTGTTCTGCTACTACCAACAACTACAAGTTCGAGGTTATCCGAAATGATGCTCCGAATGAGAGTGGACTGAAGAACTTTGCCAATGAAGGAAACCCTGTGATTGTGCTAATGGCTCTCGATCTGCTCCGTCTTCAAACTGTGAACAATGTGATCGGCGATGCTATTTACAGAGGATCGACGGACGAGCCCTCTGTGTATGGCATCTTGGAAGGATATGACGAGGACAAGTGGACGGTGGGTTTGAATGTGGTTCCTTGTGAGCACATCGTACTGAATCTTCCTGTGACAAACATTGACACGAATGCAAACTATGCTGGAATTGCTGGATATGCGATCTCGCTTGTTCCTGAATCTATTTCTACAGAATACATCGTAGACAATGTTCAGGTGAAACTGGATATAATTCCATCTTGGGCAACGAAAATAACATTCAGTGAAGGATCCCTGAACGGCTTCAATAGTTTGGTGATCGATCGATTCCCCAAATTGAAGTCGCTGATTTTCGAAGATTATGCAGTATTGAGTATTGAGTATTTGGAGATCACTGCTCCATTAGTAGAAGAGCTAGTGTTTGGCGCAGGAAGTGGATCAGGTTCTGGATCGACTCGAAGATTAGCGGATGCTCTTGGAAGATTGGTACTCAATTGCCCCAACTTGAAGACTTTTATAGTAGGAGAAGGATGTCTGGAAAGTATTGAAGTGATTCAAATCGATGCTATTGGAGAGAATGTTCGATTTGAAGTTGGACCAAATGGATTGAAGAATGTGAATAAGATTGAATACAGCAGTGAAGTTTCTGAGGAAGTGGTGACTATGATGAAAGCGACAATCGAGAGTACTGAAGGACATGTGGGAGAAGTTGTTATTGAGAGAAATGATTTGACTACACTTCCTCCTACAACTGAAGCTCCAACTACTGTTACTCCCACTACTGAAGATCCCACGACACTTCCTCCAACTACGGAGGCTCCCACCACTGAAGCTCCCACCACTGAAGCTCCGACCACTACTGTGACTCCAACTACTGAAGCTCCGACCACTACTGAAGCTCCCACTACTGAAATTCCCTTGCCATCTTGCCCTGAAGGACTCGTTGCTTACAGAATTGTCAGAGAATATGGAGCAAATCCCTTATCTTCCGAAACCTTGACATTCTATTATGGTACCGGAAGTGTTGAATTCTTAAACGTTACTTACATCGGAAATACTACTGACATCCTGACTGATTGCATGAAACCTCAATTATTAATCATCGAATTGAGAGGAGCTACAGGTGGCTGGAACGACGATTCCTATTTTACGATTCAAAGTGCATTTGGAGTGAGCGAAAAAGTCACGCTGCAAGGATCGTCATCCAATAGCCTGTACTTCCACCATTCTTATGGATTTATTTCATTCACTGAGGTAACGAGCTGTGAGGAATTCAATGCATTGCCAGATACTGTGAATATGGTTCATGTAATGGATAACGCTTGTAATGATCCAGCTATTGTGGAATTCTCAACATCCCGATTCTCTGATTTAATATATCTATGGATAGGAGATGAAGACTTTATGTATGTTAAAACATTCAATGCTCAAAACAATTCAAATCTGCAATATCTCCACATTCAAATGAATAGTTTTACTGAGAGAAAGAATGCTGTTGGAGATGATAAATCGAAATCATTCCACATTTTGAATTGTGAATCATTGGAATCCATTCAAATTGGAGATAGGAGTTTCAGTGATTTTGCTGGAGTCTTTGAGGTGAAGAATCTACCACAATTACAATCCATTCAAATTGGTGCAATTGGAAGTGGTTCATGCAATTTCTATTTCAATTCGTTTGTGATTCGAGGTATTGAACTGATATTGAATATTTGAATGATGCATAGATCTTCCGAATCTACAATCCATTACATTAGGCGATGCTGCATTCTATGAATCCCTATCAACAATAATGGAGAGTATTGAATGAATTGGAATGAAATGATTGATGTAGATCTTCCATCATTACAATCCATTCAACTCGGTGATCGTACACTTTTAAGTAGAAATGATGAATCATGTTCATTGACACTTCGAAGTAATAATGAATTGATTGGTTATGATTTGTTTTGTAGATCTTCCAAATCTAACATCAATAACTTCTGTAAAATGGAGTTTCTTTAATCTTCGTATAGTGACATTGGAAAGTATTTCTGAATATTGAATATTGATTGTATTTAGATATTCCAAATCTTCAAAATGTCAAACTATATGGCTCATTCGAGAGAGTTCGATCGAAATCAATTTCGAGTATAGTTTGATTGATTTGATATCATTTACAGATGTTTCTTCGATTCTCGCTGATCTTGTTCAAATCAAGCAGTGATACCAGCATTGAATCAACACACTTCATTCCAATGCATTTCATTACCGATTATATTCAATGCTGGCTTGTTTGTTTTAGTTCATTTACCATCATTATTCTATGTTGAGTGATGTGGGATCCGATCATGGAATGACTCTTCTCTATCATCATTATTTAGATTGGTTATGCCAGCATGTTTCAATCCTTTGTGTCGCTGTTGTTTAGAATAAAACCTAAATATTCATGAGAAATAAAAAAGCTTAGTTGATATTATTAAGTTTTACTGTTCTAATTAGAAATGTGATTTGCTTGGCAATAGAGAAGTTCATGAGCCATTGAATTGAGTACTTGAATAAATGCATTGGAATCCACTACCTATTCGTTTTAAGGTCAATTCGTGTTTTTCATTGGAAAAGATAGATATGTGTGAATGTAATTGCGAATTAAACTTTGATTTTTGTTAGAATTGTGTTTTGAATGAGTACTATAGTTAGTGCATACAGTAATTGATGAAACTCTGTAGGAGTGAAGAATGGGCATAATTTGACCTTTATTATCAATTCATTATTAATATCAATTGACCCTGTGAATTTTCAAAACAATAAAATGGTAGTAGGTAATGGAATTCATTTTTAGTCAGAATATAACGAGTTCGAATTACATGAATTTGAATGGAATCGAATTTGGTACTAATAATGATGTCCATTTTCGAATTATCAGGTCTATTCACATTTTCAACTTTATGCTTTGCATTGATGCCGATACATATTTTCGTTTTCTTAAGAGATCATCGAGTATATTGCATATGCACAAAACTACAATCAGATTGTTAAACAAAGATATGCTTTTATTTGAAAACTACAGTTATAAAAATATATAATATAATATTTCCTTCATTATTCTTTTTGGCATATCTATTGTTATCACTTGCTATTCTTCTTTTCTAAATCTACTTTAAACAGGATTATCCTTATTTTTTATTGGAAGTTGTTTTGTAGAATTCGTTTCTGATCCTCTAGCATTTTTCTTGTGCTTGTAGCACGCAATGATACATATACATAACACTATTAGAAAGACAACAATGCACGCAATAATTATTATTATAGTAGTTGATGATTGCATTTCACCAGATTCTCTAGATATTGGTTTACACTCTCCAACAATCTGCCATACTCCATTACTCTCACCAAGCACACAGACTCTACGTATCTCACCTTCACAGTCTCCTTTTAATGAGCAATTAGTCATCAAATAAGACGCACCAACTTCTGACGTAGGGAATAATCCCTCAGCCATACATCTTGCTTGTTCGACTGAAATAGTGATCGTGGTCATGGCTACTCCATCCTGGTTCTTTCCATAAATCGTGTAAGATTTCAGACTGCTCATCTCGGTGGGAACGCCCGTAATTTCTCCAGTTTTGTAATTCAAAGACAATCCAGCAGGAAGGTAAGAACCTTCCCCCATGAAAAACATATCAATCGTGTTTTTGTAAGTTGGAGCTGGAATATGAACATTTATTCCCATAACTAATCGATATAACGACGACTCGTATTCCAAATCTGACGGAACACTCTTCACACTGATTTTGTTCATGACCCCTCTCAAATGCCCATCAACGGAGGATTGGATTCTTGATGAGTCAGCATTGATAAGGCAGTTGTCTCTATTAGTAGAAGAAGCCAAGATAGCAAGATATGCATTGAAATCGACAGTGGTTTGAGGAGTGAAGAAATGAATCTCAACAGCCAGAATCGATTGTTGTGAAGCCACTTCAGAACCAGGTCGGATGAATCCACGATAAGCAAGCTCAGGGTATTCTCCAGTCGCAGCAGTAGAGGAAGTGATCATTCCAGCAGGCATATTGTCACGATAGACCTCAACTCCATTGATATAGGCAATCACTCCAGCTTTATAGAGCAGCCGCACATCATAAGCAGCCATATCAGAAAGACCCACGAACTGTTTACGGAAATACTGAGTACCAGACACAGACATAGAAGAAAGAGTATCAGAGCCTAGAGTACCTTCGGACCAAGTACTATCCGAGAACGAATAATCAGTCCATCCATTTGTAATAGATCCAGAAGTCATTTTCCAAGTTGCATCTTGTTCGATACCATAATATAGAGAAACAGCATGGGTTTTTCTATTCATATTCGTTGATACACTTTTGAAAACAGCATTGCCATGCTTACCAAATATAGTTAGATAGGAGTCAAGAGACCAAGCATTACCAAGTGAATCAAGACACTCCAAATAATACTGATTGTTTGTTGTAGACGTCAAGCACTGCTCGATAATATGGATTTCCCCATCAGCAAAGCCTGAACCAGTATAGAGAAGAGTCGAACCGGAATAAACCTTAAACAACTCATGATTTGTTCCTGACATACCGGACTTCATCACGAATTTTACATAAGTTTGCCCTAAATCGCAATGTATTTCGCTAAGCGCAATCGAGACTAATAATCATTATTTGGATTTGATGGTACTTAAAGTAATAGTAAAAAGGAGATACATAATCCACAATTAAAGATTTTTCTGTATCTAGTAGATCCGATACGTTCCACGAAATAGATACGGTTCGGTTGATAGATTTTTGGGCAATCTATTAGTTATTGGATGGAATCAATGAACTGTGCATAGAGAACCAATCGTCAATAGTAAATATACAAAAATAACAGTAATCATCCAACAATCTATCTTACTTTACGCAACAATTAGTTTTTATTACTTATTTGATACTGATTCCAATTGTTGTAATAAATCGAGGAAAAAAGCTTCATCACCCGATCTCAATCTTTTACCGAGTCTGTATATAAAATAATGACTCATTGCTATATGCGTCCCGAATTCAGGGGAGAAGAGAATTCCACGTAACATTTTACAACTACCATGTTCGTCCTGCCTAACGGTATTCACAACATGTAGCGAAGTTGAGAAAACAAACACACGAAAATGTACAGCCATCATAGTTCATCAAATCCATTATAGCTTTTGTACCATCCCAGTTATGCGTCAACGTGTTGTTCTTGTATTCCAAGTAGATATTTCCCTTCTGGCCGATCCTCTCACGGAGTGAATCAAATGCAGGCTCTCCAGTGGCGATCGTAGTACAATTCACATCCATCACATCATACACTTTGCCAGTCTCGAAATTCGTGCAATTCCAGAAGCTCTGCCACCAAGTACCTGAGAGTTTCAGATAAATGTGATGCAGCTGGTAACGGAAGTTGTTCTGACCATTCGTAGGAGTAACGTTGAAGGCATATCCACGCATAATCTGCGAGTCGTTACAGTACCCTCCAAAATGCTCGTCTTTGTCAAATCGGATATCTACGGGATAGTGACCAAAGTCACCAGTGATCTTTGTTGTGAGCAAGAAAGAGTGGTCTTGATCAAATTGACAACGGCGGTACGTTCCACAGAAAGTTTCGTCGTCCTTAATACATCCGGATGTGCTCACCGGATAATATTCTGTCCACACATTCGACTCCAAATCGAAGATATCCAAGTAGTACTGCTGGAACGTTGTTAGCACATTCTTTGAGCTACTCCGGTATTTATGTAAGCACGGTACTTCGGATGTGTAGAATTCTCTCCCCTTTGATAATTGATATCCAGAGCAAACAGCATCTAACAAGTCTTGAGAATGGAATACAACTGTGGATTCCATAGGCTCCAAATGGTATTTCCGATGGTCACGCAACGTTGTGATAACGAATCTTTCCATCAAAGTGACTTCCGAAATAGCTTGACACTCAGAATCCACATAGGTCGTTGTAGTCATTGTGGTACTGTAAGGATTGCCGCTCTCTGTTCCATTGAATACCACAAGAGTCTTTACAAAACGTCCAGAAGCATCACGAATACATTCTGATTCGTACGATCCACAGTTGCCATGGAATCCAGATACCTGACCTTCTGACAACAGGAACGGAGAACTTGAAAAAAGGTCTCCAGAGTAGACATTATTATCGCAATGAAACGATGTCGCTGAAGCTAGTACAAAGTACAAAATTGATATTACAATATACATTAAAAAACAAAAGAATGACGACTGATAATATTGCAATGGAAATTTGTTTGGCTTTATATTTATTCCTCACATGAGACTGCTGTAAAAAGCCAATTCACTGAATGGAGATACAATTAGCAACAGAATAGAGAGTCCGTTGACTCTATATCACTCCATAGTTGAATATTATTGTATAAAAACTTTACCAAAATCATCGTGCTTAGCATAATCTAAGACCACTCCGGAATATGTGTGATCGATTTAGTATAAATAGTAGTATGTATTTTTCACAAGCACATTTTATCGTGGATCTATTTCTCTCTTGAAATCATAGAAATCAATTCTGATTGTGTTCATATTTTGTCTTCAGGTGTGGATTTGCATGCTGCAGTATCATCCTGTAGAAAACTATCGAATACGCAAATGCTCAGAACGTTGGTTATGAAGAATTCTCTACGCGTCCTCAGTGTATTTTCTAGTTAGAAGCAATCTCCTGTAGCGCTCTATCACTTCTGATATGATTCCTGGAACTGTGGGACTGGGCGGCCGCATGTCTCAGTGCCCTTTGAAGGTCACTATCTTTGGTGCCTCTACGGGTAATTTGGGTAGAAGTGTTGTATATGAATTGGGTTTTTGCTTTTTGGTTGGATTTGAGCCACAGCTTCTCGCGGAGTGACCTGCATGATTCCGTACCGTGGCGAAGGCGATGAAGTTCGTCATCTGAAACAGTCTGGAGATGTTGGTAAAGTGAATCCGATTCCTTTCCATCCTCTCGACGAGAAGTCGATCCGTGACTGCATTGGCAACTCGGATATCGTGATCAATCTGGTTGGAAAGTACTACGAGACCAAGAATCTGTATCTTCGAAAGAACTACACGTATTCATTTGTCTCTTCCTCTTCCTCTCCAGATTCCAAGACGTCAACATCTACTTCCCCGAGCGTCTCGCGAAGATCTGCAACGAGATGGGCAAAACGAATCTTCTCCACGTGTCGGCTCTGCAGCAGAACCTCAAGCATCGTTCGGAGTGGGCTCGCACGAAGGTGGGCTCGGCTTTTTCCTTCCATGATGTAGGCCAAGGGCGAGGAAGTGCTCCGCGAAGTCATGCCCAGCGCCTGCATCGTTCGTCCTGCGGACATGTTCGGCGAAGATGACCGCCTGCTGACCTGGTAGAACCGCGGGGAAGAGCTTATTGGTAGGATCGGTAGTCAGCTGCACATCTATCCGTGGCTGATCAATATCAATGGCGGAAGCGCTCTGAAGCAGCCTGTGTGGATGGGCGATGTGGCCACGGCGATTCGCAAGTACTGCATGACTCCGGACGCTTTCGCGGGAAAGACGATGGAGTTGGCGGGACCGGAAGTGATCTCGTGGGCAGATCTGGTGGCGTGGTTCCAGAAAACAATAGTGAGTTCGACGAAGCTGCCTCGCACGCCCACAACACTGGCTCGTTGGTTCGCGTTCCTGTTGGAGTTGGGTCCGAAGCCGTATCTGTCGAGAAGCGAAGTGGAGCTGCGTGTGACGGATAATATTCTGGACCCGCATACGGAATGCATTACGTTCAAGGACTTGGGAGTAGGAACGATGGAGAAGATTGAGTGTAGATTGTTCCTCACAGCTTGGAGCAGAAGGGATATAGTGCGGTTCTGCGATACCGAAAGGGAGGACACTGGGCGTATGATGATGGAAACGCAACTGTGAGAGTGATTTAAGTTTATTTTGTTTTGATTTGCTTCGATTTGTTTCAAACGCTTTTTGGTCATGGAGGTGGAGGATAATAATGGATATGAATCATTACTGATAATAGTTATCGTAGTGTAGTAGTAGTAAAATGGATTGGATTCTACGAAATAGGAACAATTTGGGGAATTCCAATTATTCTCAAGAATTTAGAATCATTTTCTATAGATTCGTTTTCTTTTTGGCTATTCTACTTTATTCTACTTAAAAATAATTATATAATATGGAACTATATACCGATCCATATACTACTCATGATAGCAATACACCTATAATAAGTGTTACTATTGATTCCAATGAGGAAAACACTGATATTTGGAAAAACTGCATTTCAAGCGAATTTCCTATCATTAATATGAATATGGATAAGGGTCAGGCCATTTGTCTTATCGGTAGCCCTCATCAAGGCTATACTCTAAAAGCAAGTCAAAAGAATGGTAGATTACATGGAGAGGCGTTTCTTTATGACTATGACAATCATGTTGTAGCAAGTTTGACTTATCAGGAAGGTGTTGCTAATGGTAAATGTACAATATATTATAGATCTGGAGAGATCTATTTCTCTGGAATCTTGTATAAGGGTTATCGACACGGTCCAGGAGTGGAATATAATAAAAATGGAAGTCCGATTTATGAAGGATTTTTTAAGAATGGTCGCCGAGCACCCAATATCAAGCTGAGGTCGGATGGTTCAAACTACTGGGATGAGAAAGATGAAAAAGGTAAAATGGTATCACTATTTCAAACAGATGATAATGGCTTAAACCATGGAATATGTTATTTCTATTGTGATGGTGAAATTAGAAAGATCAGCAGATGGGAACATGGTTATGAAACAGAGTTACTAAAGAAATTCAATGGTCCTATTATGAAAGTGTTTAAAAACGGACAAGAAGTATATTATGGAAGGTATAGAAAAGAATCAGACTTTGAATATGATCCAATCTATCTAACGGAAAGTCAGACTAAGAGTGATTTAGAGGAGTCAATAGAGGATGAGAGTGATTTAGAGGAGTCAATAGAGGAAGAGTGGGGAGGAAAATGTGCATACACGTCTAGCTGCTTCAAATATTACTATGTAGTAATAATGATTACCATAGGTCTAATATCGGGTACACTTTATATTATATACCAGGTATTACTGCATAATTATAGCAAGGATATTAAGTTAACAATTAGTTGTCTTTACACTATTTTTTGGTATTCTATTATGGTATTTTGCATACTTTTTATCCCCTTGTGTACGTATGAAATATTATGTAAATTATGTAAATTATGTCGTTGTTAATAATCGATACTTGTTGTTATAGTTATTTGTTTGTATTCAACATGCCCCAAATAGACTATTACCAAAAGAATGACCGTATAAGTAGTTAGTAATTGACGTGAAAAGCGCGAAAACCTTTTCGGCCAATTTCTGCCTTTTTTCTACCTGGCCTCCTTTTTCTGCCTGACCACCATTGATGCTTGTCTACCTCGAGTACCATGGCGCATAAAGCGCGGAAACCTTCTCGGCCATTTTTCTGCCAATGTGGTTATTGTTAGCCTTTTATATACTCTTTGTTAAAAAAACAAAGTAAAAACGACTTTTCATTTGCATGTCCTTCAATCGGTAATGTCCGAATGCTAGTGTGTGCATGTTGTCGTCCAAGATCCATCGCTTGTTATCCGTGCACGTCATTTGTGTCTTGGTTTGCTCCTTCGTGCTGATATCGAATCCTTGGTTGTTGATGCGTTTGAAGCTGCCTTCGATCACTGCATCTTCCTTCTTCTCTGCCTCAAGGACACACTTGTACAAGTCGATGTTCTTCACACTCATCCTCTCACCATCGATCACCACATTGCGAGGAACTCCCTTTGCTGCGTTGTGTATCACATGCTTCTCATCAACCAAACAGTACATCTTCGGTCTCAGTCCCACGAACTCTGTGATGCGATGTCCGTTGTGCTCGTCCTTGAAGATGGGTCCAGGCAACTTCTTGTTGATATTGAGGAACGAGTCTAATGAAGGGAACTTGCTCTTGTCCACTTCATGCTTGTAATAGTTCACGAGTTCTCCATAGAAGTAGCTCGTGTTATCCAGTTCCGAGAAGTCAAATGACTTGTACATATCGTACATCTTGTGAACGATGTTAGCGCGATCGTGCAACTGCACGATGAGTGAATCCGTGTCCTGTCCCAACAGCTCCACGGTGTCGAATGTCGTCTTGAGCACATTGTAGTAGAAATCGTAGATGATGTGCTTGGACATGTCGAGAATGGCAAACCCAATGAAGAATGGCTTCTCCACCCTGCGCACCGGTGTGTTCAACTTAATACCGATGAGATTCTCGGAATACATGGTAGTCCCAGCGATCATGTCGTACCCATGCTTCTGAATGATGGCTTCACGTTCATTCCATGTGTAAGCGAACTTCACTTTCATTCGTTTCAGCCCAGTCTCCACGAATTTGCCATAGGTCGAGTTTGCTAACAGCTTGTACAGGTTCTTCTCCACAGTGGTCTTAGACTTCGCTCGTTTCTCACTCAGCATGTTCACATACTCGAAGATGAATGGTACCTGCTTGAATCGAATGATGTGGTGAATGTGCGTGACACGATATCCCTGTTGAATGCATCCAGTTGCAACAGTGAATAATGCACGAGATACTTTTGACGAGGTACAAGATCGCAGATGAGCTTCGGTGTATTCACCTCTTTCACTTTGTCCACAATGTCGTTCTTCTCAGCGTACTTCTTGATTTCATCAGAATACATGCCCGCCTTCTGTACGGGGAAGAATGGCAGATCATTGAACTTGTCGTGGAGTTCTGTGGGTGCTTCGATATCACACTCAATGAAGAATCCATACTTGCCGAACGTCTTGAGTGATTGCACCCACCCATTCGGATCACGATTGATCTTCTCCATCACTTCTCGTCGCTCAGGTATACACACCAACTCATAAGGCATCATTCGATGCATTGCTTTACCATACAGGTTGTTGGCGTCCAGGTAGTAGATGCCTTGGGACGACGTTGCTTGCTCCTTGTTGTCAATGTTGACCTTGGCATGTCATTTCACGATCTGTGTGATGCCTCCTCGCAGGTTCTTCAACAATCGCATGAAGTCATCGATCTCATTTGTCTCCATCAATCGAATGCCCTTGCTCTCATAGAATTCACCCATGCGATTCAAGAACACTTTCACGAGCTGTTTCTCGCTAAGACCCTCATTCGCGCTAATGCGCATGATGTACTGAGCCCATTTCCTTGCGAGGGTCATGAGGCTACTCTCACTATGATCGCCCTCCATTGTGACCTTCAAGAAGAGCGAATATGCCATTTGCGGTGCTGTGATGTAATGCATTGGATCAACACCGAATGCATTCAGTGTGGTAACGCGAAAATGCTCGAATGCATCAGCCATGAGAGTCACATCGAGTACATTGTACAATTTGTAGTATTCACCCCATGTCTTGATATCGAAGGTCTTCCACAGCTTCACCATGTGATCATACTCGTCTTGGGGCATCATCTCACCCTTCATATCATCAATGCATTGTTCACGAGAAGGAATGACGGTATTGTTCATAGTCTCGTACGATTGATGAGGCTGTAGAACATGGGTTCTTTCCGTGTCAACAAATCGATGTATTCGTCACTCCATTGCTTGCCTCGAGACTCACAGTACTTGCGTAGTTGTTGTTTGGTGTGCACATACAAATTGAGGTTCCCTCCGAGTGTCTGTGCCACGATGGAACGCAGTGGACTGCTGATGAGTTTCAACGAGTCCTTGAATTGAATGCCATTGTACTCAATCTGCATCTCCTTGTCTTCAGTGGTTGGAATGACTTCGAGATTCCCGCCAGGCATCGTCGCGATGAGCTTCATGATGAATGTGAAATCATAGTGAGATCCATTGTGGAAGTAAACTGGCAATCGATAGTTCTTCTTGTTGAACGAGAGTTGGAGATTACACTTGGTGCAACAGGTGCAGATGTATTGCCAAGCTTCGAAGTGGCGTACTTCTCCCTTCCCTATCGTGTATTCACCTGCCACATGTGCATGATGTCTAACTTTGTCGTCCTCTAGTTTCTTGTGGCAGAAGGGACACACGGTTGTTGAACGAAAGTCCTTCTCGACCTTCGATGTGCTCTCCAGTGGCATCTCATCGAAGAGATATGTTTTCACACTCCCTTGCAATTGCACGAGATAGTCCATGAAAGGACGAAGATCTTCTTCGCTCTCGTGTGGTGCATGGAAGACTCGAAGCTGCGTATCAATGGCTGGAATGCGTGACACGGCCAAGCAGGACAACATGATTGGCTTGTGTCTGTTCTTGTCATCAATGGCTGACTCGAAGTCGGCGTACACAACGACCGGTGCTGGCATTTCGTATCTCTGGTTTGTGAATCGCAACCGAGTCTCCTCGTTCGACAACTCGTACTGATCGTTCTCATAAACGAGTTCACGATGTGCTTGTACTTCGTGATCATGAATGGCTTTGCGAAATCCGAAGAAGTCGTCACAGAACCTGCACTTCACGTTTCTTGCGAGATGTCTATTCTTTGCATCACTCTGACGAAAGATGCGATGCTTGAAATCGCTCAAGTCCTTGATGTACAAGAAATGCTTGGGAGTGCCCTCGGGTAGATTTAGATCGTTTAAGATGCAGAGGGAGAGAGGAGGACATGCTTTCTCCTTGCTTTTGTACACGACATCGCATGTGAATAAATCGAATTGCTCCTTCGTCTTATCGGTGTATCCAGGCAAGAGTGTGACCTCGAATACGTTGAGAGAGACTTTCAACAATACCTTCAATGCGGCGAATTTCTCTTCACTCGCGTTAAAAGGTGCATTGTCGCGAATGTTCATCGCCTCCTCCACCTCGTGAATGGTCACTCCGAACACCTTGTTCTTGTCGGGTTGTTTCCACCACTTGTTGTACACGGTTGCATCACCTATCTTCCGATTTGCAAT